CCCCCTCGGCTGCCCCCCGGTTCTCCTCGGCTGCTCTCGACTCCCCACGCCCGCTCCCCGGTTTCCCTCGGCTGCCCCCCGGTTCCCCCCGCCTGCCTCCCGCCTACCCCCGGGTTCCCCTCGGCTCCCCCGGCCGCAGTACCGCTCAGCCGGGGGCTGTTTTTCCCCTGGCGACGGCTTCCAAACACCGTTTCAAAAGCGAGATTTGGGATTTTTAGGGGGGACAGTTGTTTGGCTTTTGTTGGTTTGTTGTTGGTTTTTCTGTGTTGGGTTTTTGGTTTTTTGTTGGTTTTTGTTTTTTTTTTTTCCCCCGGCAACTGTAATTAAACAGTGGGAACGTGTGCATGGAAACCGGGACCAGCCCGGGCTCCGGAGCTGCACAGCCCCTCCTGAGCCACCTCCATCGCCCCTACCCCCGCCCTTAACCCTCTCCCGGGGGAGACCCCAGCCCGGACCCGCGGAGGGCAGGAGGAGCCGTGTGGGGTTCCTGCCCTTCCCCGCCCCGGCAGTGGCAGTGGACACCAGTTGCCAGATCCAACTGGTATTTGGGCACCCGACCCCATTGGGCTGCCTTGGGAGATCAGCACCCAGCTAAAGGGGTGGGAGAGGAAAGGTGAGCCCTAAAGCTGACCACTGCACCCCTTTTTTCCCAGAGCCTGCTCAGCCGTACTCCAGCAGCGACATCGTCCATCCCATCAAGGTTGATGAGAGCGGGTCCTTCCTCTCCTACGATCTGTCCCACCGAGCGCTTCACCGAAGGTCTCCTTCCCCCAGGAGCAAGTCTCTCGCCTTCTATGAGCTGCATTACAAAGGACAACCCCTAAAATTTAACCTGAGCCTTAATAACAATCTCCTGGCCCCCGGGTTCGTCAGCGAGAGGCGATACGGGGGGATCGCTACCGCCAAGATCCAGTCCCACGCCTACAACTCCTGCCATATGATCGGGGAGGTTCGGAGCCGGGCGCTGCCGGGGGGTCTGGCTGCGCTCAGCACCTGTGACGGCCTGGTGAGTACAGGGACCTTTAATCGGTGAGGAAGCAGCAGGAGCGGTGTGAAATTCTTCTTTTGCGCTGAAAGCGATAGCAAGACTCCCTACAGCAGCAGAGTCAGGTTATCATCGTGTGGGTTTGATGCGGCTATAGATGAGCTGACTCTGAATTTCCCATGGATTCCAGTGGTTTGGGAACGCCAGGACTGTGTTTTCTTGTTTGTATGAAAATTCCCGAAGAGAGCAATTCCCATATCGCCTCCGCATTCTAGTACGTAAATGTAGGATTATGTGAAACACATTGCAAACAAGGTGTTCGCAGCCTGGAGGCGTTTATGATTAACACAGCTCATGTGTAGTGAAGCTACTTTGTTTTGTGAACACCTCCGCTGCCTTATTCTACTGCAGATATTTTCAAAGGTGGTAGTGACCTGTACAAGTGTAAGTTTTGCTGAAAGGCGGATTGACTTTCACAGATAAGACTGTTGTGTCGACGCTCAGCACAGCAAATTCAGCATAAATCTGTGAGCTCGCGGGTACTGGGTCCCCACGGGGGTTTAAAACCCCTTGGGGGTTTGCAGAGGTTTTACCACATAACTGGGTGGATCCGGAGCAGGGGCTGGGGCATGCCAGAGGTGCTGGGGTTTCCCAGAGGTGGTGAGTGTATGGAGGGGGGTGTGTGTGTGTGTGTGTCTCCTTTTTGGGGGGTGGAGGGAGGTAGCGCCAGGAGTGCTCATGCACAGTGTCGCTGGGTTTGGAGGGATGACAACCCCATGGGATCATCGCTCTGCTGGCTGCCACAGGTGGCTTCGTTCGCTGGGGGCTGCGTTTGCTTTTTAAGCTTCCTGTGTTTAAATAAAGGCAGCGTGGGTCTGTGCACTGCGTTAGCCCGGGGGCAGCATTTAGATGGAGGGGGTGCAGAAGCCACCCAAAATCACTGCGCTTCGTCCGGAGGCGCAAGAGCACGTGGCTGGATTTTGGGGGGAGCGGAGCGCGGCAGGCAGGCGTGCGACAGGGAGCATCGCTGCTGCCTCTCCACCTCCTGGGATGCCATCAGAGAGCTCAGACCTTCCCTGCCGTGGCTGCTGGCAGAGCAGGTGCTGGGCGTGTCCTGGAAGGTGTGGGTTGCTCTTTTCTTGCTAAATTTAACAGCAGCTGAGGTGTTTGGCACCCTGAGCTTCGTGCAGCACCCCAGTCTCCAGCAGGGTGAAGGCTACAGGAAATAACCAGGCTTATCAAAAATATAAAAATAATCAGTCTTTAAAAAAATAGACTGAGGATCTTAGGAGGAACCTACAACCTTTTGATTAGCTTTTCTGTGAACGTTTTCATGAGAGAAACACGAAGGGCTGCAGCGTACACAGAAGTAGAAAGTGTTGTGACTGCTCCCGTGAGTGTTTGTTTACACGTGGACACCTCCAGTAACAGATGATGGTTCTGGGAATGTTTGTGTGGCCTTGTCCTGCCAACGAGGTGAAATCTGCCCCCAAACTTAAAGGTCCTGTCTTGCAGTGGGAGTCAGGCAAAGCCAAGGTGCTGATAGCAAATGGGTTGAGGCGATTAACCCAGGTCATTTGAAATAGATTCAGGTTAAGAAAATTAACCTTCTCTTTGTGAAGAACCACAGACAGGAGAGCAAAGAAAGTTACTTGTTAAATAATTTGACATCCTCATTATGTGTCACCTGAAAACACTTGTTTCATAGCGGTGTTTGGCAAACCCCACCATTCATGTCTGTAAAGTGGGTTGAAAATGAGCAGTATCATGCAAATGCTACAGATTAGTATTATCTTTTAAGAAGCAGAAAAAATTACTAATGCACAAAAGGCATTAGCACAACATTGTGAGAGGGTCTGCAGCCCACAAACTGTGAGTAGTAAGCAAAATGCAGCCTGAAGTTGCTTTAAACTTTCACTACTCAGACTTAAAATAACTGTGGCTTTTTGTCCGACAGGTGCTAAACCATGGAAAACTGAGTTTAGCAATGTGCTGCATGTCTCTAAATTATTATAGGAAGTAAAGTGTGTTCTGAGCTCCTGCTTATTGAGGGAGTTACTCACAGGTCTCTTGAAGGCACAGTTGGTATTACAGGGTGTGAAGAAGGGACTTACTGCTGGTGTGGGAAAGCACAGAGCTGTAGGCTAGGGCAGTATATTACATTGATACACATAATTTGGTGGCAATACCTCGTATTTTGAGCCCAGCACTGCTGCATTGAAAGCTTTCCGCTGTTCCCAGTTTTGAAGCACAGATGGGCTATCCCAAAATTCCTGCTTGTGGAAGCTTCATGTGTTGAACCAGATCACATCAGCACCTCCAAGGGCCAAGTTCCCCGTTAGTGTTGTTGGTGCAGCCTGTGCTCTAGCATTACTAATTGTACCTTGATTAACACCCTTGGCCAGCCTCTGCAACCCCTGTTCCCATGACCAGGATTCACCTCTATTACAACACTACTATAAGACTTTAAACTCCTTCTGTCAGTGATTTTTAAAATCCAGGGTAGTCGTAAGATCTGGTTTCTGCTCCCACTGAGGTAGTTTTGCCAGTGCAATTCCACCTTCTCCAAGGCTATTTCCTACTCTTGCTCCAGACTGTGATGAGTTAGCGCAAGGGAGGCCAGTGTTAGGGATGCTGGCACTGCTTACTGGGGTGGACTGGGACACGCAAGGTGCGGAAAGGTGTGTTTTAAACAGAGAGAACTAGACCCTTCCACAGGCAATAAATGCCACTCAGTGCTACTGCACAACCAACTGGTGACGAAACGTGGCCCCTGGGCAGATTTCAGCCAGGGCAGTGGTCTCTGTTCCCTCCCTGGCTCAGAATAACCTGCATCAGGAAATGGAGAAGGAATCTCTGTGACCACCTTCCCTTCCTTCCCCATCCCCATAGTGTTTCCTCCTCGTTATTTGACATTTGCAAGGAGTTAACTAGGGAGAAAGCTGTTTTCCCTGGCACTGTGTGAGCGCCAAGAAAGCGTCACTGATAGGCAGGGTCCTGTTGTATCTTGGAATGTTGGATACAGTTGTAGAGGCATGTTTTGATCTTTGTCCCTGCCCTGTCCTGGGGTGTGAAAGCAATAAACATGTCAGAGCAGAAGCATGGTAATGGCTCCTGGGTAAGCGTAGGACACCTCAGTCTGCTCTGGACGCTGTGAGGCTGATCCAAAGCAACGGTGAGTGGATGGAGTTGTCTTGTGGCACAAAAGCCCTTTACAGAACGCTCCTCACGGCAACAGCCTGACTGGCCGAATGACGCTTGCAGGCTCCCGCCCAAGCCCCTTTCCTTGGGATGGAGCTTCCTGTGCAGCAAATGCTTGTGTTTGTTCTGGAGATGCAATGTGGAGGCTGGGGAGTCCTGAGGGGTGTGTGTGTGTGTGCGGCATAACAGTGTGTTGCAGCTGTGCCAGGTCAGGGGGGATCGTAATTAACCAGAGAGTTGTCATTTCCTGCTAAAGGAGAGATGCCAATAATGCATCATCCTGTTGCTGCATGGAGGAACCATGCTCCTTGTCCTGGGACTGACTTTCCTTGATTGGAGTCCCTGCCATCACCAAGTGCTCCTTCAGGTTCCTCTTCCCTGGATGTTTTCTGGTCTCTGACCACGGGAAGTCTGTAACCCCGTGGTTCACATCGGTGGTGCTTCGGCAGCGCAAAAGGCCAGCAGCAACTTCCTGGGGAAACACCTCTGCTTGTGCAACGCTCATTCCAAGGCTGGGGCTGCGCTAGGGTCACGGTGTCCTTTGAACCATCGGCCTGGCTGCCCCAGAGCATCTCCAGAGGGGTCAGAGGGAGGTGGGGGGGAGCACAGTCTGACTGTATGTGCACCTGTTCCTGGTGTGGTGGGTCTCTGGAGAAGGTGTTGCTCTGTTTCGGCATCCCTGAGCTCCCCACTGTCAGGCACCCACTGAGATCACCACCCATCTGCATTTTGCAATGGGATCTCTCCAGCTTTTTGCTTAGTGATCATGCTGGCTTGTTCTCTTTTGTCTGGGAGTTTAGAGCTCAAAATATCCATAAAAACAGTTTCTCTAGAGAAGTCATGTTTCCTCCAGGAAAACTTTCCAAACCCTCTCCCATTCCCAGGTGCTTCAATGTCAGTCTGTGCTAGATGCATCTTCATGGTGACAACTTTGTCTCTCCCTGCCAGAAAGGCGTATTTCAGCTCATGAACGAGGACTATTTCATTGAGCCAGTGTCCACCAGCTTTCGGGAGGATGGAGCAGCGCAGCCCCACAGGATATACAAGCGCCAGGCGCCTGAGCATGCGTCAGAGCAAGGCAGGAGGCCACCAGCTCCACGGGAGACCTGTGCCGTGCAAGGTATTGTCCCCTTCCTCTTGCATTTTTGTAATGAGCTGGTAGCAGCTGCGTCCTGTGATTTGTATGAAGCACACTGTGGAAAGATAAAGGGAGCAAGTCCAAGCTTTATCCCCCCACATTGTCTCTGCAGACCCGTTAGTCTTAAACCCCAGCGTTTGCTCCTGTCTTAAGCATTCAGCATCCATCAATGACACCAGTTTCTTTTAGTCTGAGTTTTGCAAGTCAGGCTGGAGGTCCCTCTTGCTGCGTAGGCTGCCAAGAAAGAAAACCCTCGGACCAAGACACTGAAGCAGCAGCAGGGAGTCAGCATCCTGCTGTGGAGTGGCTTTTGGCGTGGGGGGTGCGTGGTCGGCAGTGCCAGTGGTGGGTGGGTGTCTGATGGCTCGGAGCTGCTTGCGCGGAGGACAGCCCTGGGGATGCCCACACAACCAGCCCCACGAGTGGTTTTATTATGGGAAGGCTCAATGGAATTGCTAGTCAGGAGAGCTTGCTGGCTGGGTGCCAGGCAGTGGGTTTGTGGCACTAATGACCAGAGCCTGCAAGTCACGGGAATCACTGCAGAGTACTGGCTTGGTTTTTTTTCTCCTGCCAGTTTTTCTGTATTTGCTTATGTTTCTCACATACAGGACTCAATGCTTGTGGAATCTCAGGCCTCTCGCTCTCATGTTTTTCTCCCCGCCCTGTTGCACACGTCCCGTGATGTGGAGACTGAGTATTTGTTTTCATTTCCTTGCAAACATCAGTTTCTGGCCTGCCAGGGCATTGGGCTTTCGGAGTGAAAACCTGGTCACTGCCCCAGGAGTCTCTGCTGGGGGAAAAGTGCATGTTGGTTCCTTCTCTGTCTGGAGCAGATGGGTTGGATAAACTTCCAAACCAAAGATTTTAAGCACTGAGGGATTCAGTTCATCCCCAGCAGCTCACGGGTGCTTTACTCCTCATCTGCGTTGGTGAAGCTGCATCTTCCAGGCAGTGTATCTTGTTTTCCATATTTCCTAGAGCTCTGGGCTTTCAGAAACAGTTGTTTGTTTTGGTTTTTTTCTGTAATCAAGTTATCTTCAGGCATTCTTCTGTTAATCTAAATTAATTATTTAATCTATGGTAATACTTATAATGGCTTCTTCTAGACTTCAAAGTCTGTTCATTGTAAATTCATTTCACTGGGTGTAATATGGCCCGTGTGTAGTGCACATGGATCTCTGCTGCAGTCTAGGCCAGCAAAGTGCATGTGATGCCTATGCCCTGGCAAAGAAGCCAAGTCTGTAAGATTTTAATTACTGCAAGCCTTTCATTTTGTACTGATGTATTGCTGGTTTTCTTTGAACACCACCACCCAGGCAGATGGTGTTAGGCTGTCAGGTGTTATTTAGCTTCTGTCAATACCTAGTGCTGGCTGTGTGTACAGCTGGGCAAGGGTTTAAGAGGGATCTCAAAGGGAAAATGCCATATGAGCCCTCCCTGGGATCCCGGGAGCCCTCGGCACCCATCTCTGCAGTACTTTCACGTCCTGGCTGGGAGCTTAGCAGTGAAGGACACAATGGAAACAAGCTCCAAGGAAGCTCTTGCGATTAAACTGTCGCAGTGGTATTAGCAATTCGTCAAATTATCCAGATACTTGGGATTTTTCAGGCTGGGGGATGAAACACTCTTTCACAGCCAACGTACAGTATAGTCCATAAAATGTAAAAGTCCATTGTTAACAAAGTACAGCTGAGCCCTCAGAAACTGGTCATAAAAGCAATTCCCACTGTGTGGGATGTGGTTTGTAAAGCCTTTCCCCAGCTTGGGGCTGACCCTGACCTTGATCTTGGAGCAGCGTCACAGGAAAAGTCTCCGCATGAGAATTCCCAGTTGCTGGTGTGCGTGAGGAGCATCCGAGCTCTTCTTTGCCTCCTGTCTTGCTTCGTCCCATGAATGTTCCCGTTGTTTCTCCCGGGAAGGAGCAGAATTCAGTTTCCATGTGGCCGAGGAAATCTCTGTGCAATCCTGCAAGGGCTCAGTCTTGCCCAGGACACTGATGATCTTTGGGATTTGGCTCAAGATGTCAGTCCGGCTTTGGGGGTGCAGAGCTTATCATGTTGGGGAACTGCCTTTCCCTGGGAAATTCAGATTAGTGATGATGACATCCAGAAATGTTGAGCCACTGGGGATGTTTCTCAGTAATATGTGCTCAAGCATCTCTGTTGGGTTGCCTATAAATTCGTATGTCAATACAGACCCTGAGCACTCTGCTCTGGGAGGCTTTGTGTTCCTGGGGGAATATTACAAACCCTGTTCCAGTCAAAGAAATTTCTTCAAATGCTTTTTTTTTTTTTTCTATCGTGCTGTGCAACAGACTGAGGTCAGAAGCTTCACCTCCCAGTGATTTTTTTGGAACGTACAGCACAGAAAAATCCACGTAGATTATGGGTCTAAGAGTGGTCCTTCCTTCTCAACACCAAAAGGTTATTTCTTTGAAATTAGAGAAGAAAAGCCCTGATGATATTTTACCGAAGTTGCAGACATTTTACAAAAAAAAAAGAAAAAGTCTTTTTTCCACCTTTAACCCCTCAGAAACTCAGGAAAGCCTGGAGAGGTCTGAGAAGCGGAGGGAGCGATGGGAACAGAAGCAGCACAGGAAGAGAAGAATAAGGCAGCGCTCCATCAGCAGGGAGAAGTGGGTGGAAACGCTAGTGGTGGCAGACACCAAGATGATCGAATACCACGGGAGCGAGAACATAGAGAAGTATGTGCTGACCGTGATGAACATGGTGAGTCCTGGTCCTCTTAAATGGCAGAGCCACTCTGGGGATGTGGCTGTGAGGCATATTGGCCCCAGAGCTTGCCAAGGCTCATCCCTGGTGAGACCTCAGCAAGCCAAAATCTATGAACAGGGGCTAGCAGCACAGCCTGCAGCGGTTTCACCTTCCCCATGGGGCTCAGGGGCTGTTCTGTCTCCTTGTCTCCCTGTGGATGGATAACGTGGCCTCCCGGGGAGATACCCCACGGGCAGAGCTGCTCCAGGGAAGGGAGGTGGTTGTGCCACCACCACCGCAGCTCTCCCCAGGCAGGCTTGGGCACAGGGACACAGCCGGAGCTGAAACCACCCCAGAGCCTGCACCAGGGGTCACCCACTGACTGCTGGGTGATAAGGAAACCTCCTCACAGGAAGAGAGACCCTCAGGGACCTGGGAGCTTTGCCTCGGGCTCCCCTGAACAGCAGCTGCTGTTGGAGCCAGTGCTGGCACTAGCCTAGTTAGCAGGAGGGACATGATCAGCTTTCCTGGGAAGGTGCCACTGAGGACAGTTAAGGGAAGGAGCACCAGGCTGTGGTCTCCACTGGAAACTGGAGGCTGTTTGCTGGTGCCATAAAACAAGCAGATAAGTTTGGGTAAATTGGTTTAGTCTGTTCACTCTGCTGCTGCTGTGGTAGCACCTATTTGCATTTCAGAGGAGGGCTTTGGTTGATAGCCAAAAAAGAGGGTGGGATTGGGCAGAGGTAACACTCCTGCATTCCTGGGGGTTTGGGGAAGGCACCCAGAGAGCACAGACTTCCTTTGAGATGTTAAACACCTCTACTAGGAGTGAAAGCAAAGGTATTCCTCTGGGCGTTACTGGTTGAGTTTCAATCACAGATGATGTGATATCCATTTTAAATGGACCACATCACCGCACTCTGAACGCTTTATCCAGGTCTGCATCTGGTTTTGTCTTTTATTTTGGGGAATTCCCTGCAATGTTGTCAACAACCTCCAGTAGCTTCCCCTCAGCTTATGTTGCCCTGCAGATGTACTTACCAGCAGCAATGTCACAGGGCAAGGTCTTTCTTTCAGGCTTTATTTATTTTTCCAAGGTCTTTCTTTCAGGCTCTGTTTCTTTGGCTTTTGCCTGTTGCAGGTGGCTGGTCTGTTCCACCATGCCAGCATCGGGAACCCCATCAACATTGCGATAGTGCGACTCATCCTGCTGGAAGAAGAAGAGGTAAAAAAACCACCAAGAAAACACAGTGACTCACCCTCCCGTCCTGGCAGCTAGGCTGGGGAGCTGGCCTCAACAGCCTGTAAGCTCTCTCTTGAGCTGTCTTCAAGGCCTGGATGAATTTGCGTAAGATAAACGCAGGCACCTGTGCCTTGCTTCCTTGTCTTCTGCACGGGCTGTGTGTCCGGGGGATGGTGTGGTCAGAGGAGCTGCAGAGTCTGATTCCTGTAATCATTTCTGATAACTCAGCATTGCTGACGGTAGCGAGGGCTGTGAATTGCTGGTTGTTTGTGCTTCCAGCTGCAGCAGTGACTCTCAGGGAGCCTGACGTTGCTGGGACGGGCTCCCCAGCTGTGTCCTTCGCCATCAGCCAGGATGGGATATTTTCTTGCAGTGTTTCTTAACCCTCATTACCAGATGATTTAATGTTTTGGTTGAATTACAGATGAAAAGAAAGCAGAAAAGGACTGTATTCCCACCCAGCCCACAACCTATAAATATGGAGCAATTCCACCTGGATGGCAGTGACTCCCAGTTCCACTCTGTGTCCGAGATCAGACCCCTCCCCGCTGCATCCTAAAAACCAGATCCAGCAGCAATATGACAGCAGGCTCTTAATTATCTTGGCAGGAGGATCTGAAAATCTCCCACCATGCAGACAACACCTTGAAAAGCTTTTGCAAATGGCAGAAGAGCATCAACGTTAAAGGAGATTCCCATCCCCTGCACCACGATGTTGCAGTCCTGCTCACAAGGTATTGTGCCCACATGCTAATTTTATGCTGTAGATGCTACGCTGGCAGCTAGAAACATGTCTGCTGGCTGCAGGCAGTGGGGCAGCCAGGGGAACATCTCAGGGGGAGCTGTTGAAATCTCACTGTCCATGACTGAGCCCTGCCTGGACACCTGCACATAAGATATGTAGCATGAAATCTGAAGAAAACCTGGTCCTAACGGCTGGAACTAATCTCAGGTTTAAACCTGGAGACAGCTCCCAGTTGGCTAGCAGTTGAGGTTTCCAAACCAGGTTTTTACCATGGCCCTATTGCCAAGCCCCAGAATGGCTGGATCCTCCCAGGAGACCTATGCAGGGATTAACTTTTTCCCTGAGAGGCTAATGCTGAGACTGGCAGAGGAGCCTCGAGAAGGCCCCTGACCTCCCATGAAGCTCCCAGGAATTCGTGCCTCTGGCCAAGTTTATATACCTTGCAGCTTGATGGTTTCAGGCTGCAGTGACTTGGCTGTTGGCAGCATTGTGCTGGTTTGTGTGATGATTCACAACCCACAACAGTTTTATCTTCTTTAGAAAGTTTGCTTTGTAGTAGAAATAAGGCACTTAAGGCCATGTACTTCAGTGGAGTTGTTCTTTCTGGGTGGCTGGATCTCCTCTGCTCTGGACCACAGCACCCCTGGGATGTGTTTCCCCAAGCAATGTAGTAATTGCTTAATTATTCCCAGCATCAGCTTTATTTATACAATGGAATAAACGTAGCCAGGCTGGCTAGCAGTTCCCATTAATCAGGCTTAATAATAAGCTGGGGATATGGGGAGAGTAAAGGGGAAAGGAAAGGTTGTAAATCTTTCCGTTGTGGAAAGTTGTTGGATGTCTCCTTTCTCACTTCTGTTTGGCCAGTGTCTGTGTGTCTTCCTCCGTGGGCTGGGCCACATCCCGTGCTCCTTCCTGTGTCTCACGTTGGGTCCTGCTGCTTTCAAACTCCCTCTTTGCTCTGTGTCTGTGTGTTCGTTGTCTCCATTGCCCAAGGAAGGACATCTGCGCAGCGATGAACAGACCCTGCGAGACCCTGGGTCTGTCCCACGTGGCGGGGATGTGCCAGCCCCACCGCAGCTGCAACATCAATGAGGACACGGGACTGCCCCTGGCCTTCACCGTGGCCCACGAGCTCGGACACAGGTACCACCACCCTCCTCCTCCTCTCCTCTGACCTCTGCTGCGCTGCGCAGTCAGGGCTTGAGAAGACACGGGTGGGAGGTGGGAGAAGGTCGCCGAGTGGTTCTTCACTGGTGCAAACCTTCCTCTGCACCTACAAGGACTTACCCTGGGAATTTAATTCAGAGTTAAGTGTCTGGTTGCCCCAGGTTCAGTGAAAATTCAATGCAACCTGGACAAACTGCACTTGTGTTGCTGATGTTGAAAGTTTCGGGGAAGAGGGTTGCCCATTAAGTTTTAAAATAGGGTCTGCATATAGAATCAGCAACAGAATTTTGCTTGCCCTAATTTCAATCAAATTTTGACAAGATCACTTGAACGTTATAGTTTATAATAAATATTTTTGCATGGTAAAAACACATACCCAGTAAATTTAATTAATGTGATCTTGATCGGTAGTCTCACTCCTTTATTCGTGACTGAGTTTTCAGTAAGAAATCTGAAATAAGAGCATGGGGCAGAGTCCCTGGTATCACTAAAATGTCCACCCCCTGGCCAGATCCCCTGGTGCCCGTTAATGGCCGAGTCCTTGCGCAGCTGGGACAGTTTGCGATGTCTGGCGTCGTGTTTCGTGCTGGAAGGCAGAGAGGCTGCGCGGTTGTAGCGGCGTGCGGCTCACCTCTCCTTTGTGGGGCTGTGCTCTTACACAGTTTTGGGATTCAGCATGATGGAAGCAGCAATGACTGTGAGCCAGTTGGGAAAAGACCTTTCATCATGTCTCCACAGCTCCTGTATGACACGTCCCCACTCACCTGGTCCCGCTGCAGCCGGGAGTACATCACACGATTCCTCGAGTAAGTCTTCCCTTCCTCTTCTTCCTTGCTTGCAGGATGCTGGGGGTGGCTCGGGGCTTGGGGACTGCCCCCACCGATTGCACTCAAAAGCCAGCCCCAGGGCACATGGGGATGCTCTTACCTCTCTTGGTTGCCTTAGTCCTTGCTGCGAAGGATGGGGCCTTGAACACAGAAGCAGCACGAGTGTTCAGGCAGTGGGACAGGGGTTGTGGCTTGAACAAATAAAGCCAGAGTGGTTTTCTTCAATGCTCTGTGCAGTTTTCTTTAGTGCTCTGCATGGGGCAGATGGTGTTTGCCTCTAGGCGCAAGGCATCACGTGAGGAAGTGAGAGCGAGCCAAATTCTTCTGTGCATTTGTTTATTTTTAGCACCCTATGGACAATTTTTCATCCTGTTGTTATTAAGTTCCTAGGAACATGGCCCAGAGATTTATGTTTGTCAGCCAGTGGCTTGCACTGGAGAAACATTTCCCTTTCTTGCTACGGGAAGCTTAGAAAACAGCGAGAGCATCGACAAGAAACGGTGATGGGGAGAGCTGGGTGAGGGACCAGCAGTTCCATAGTGGGGAGGCTGCCTGGGGCTGGGCTCCTGGTTCTAAATCCCAGCCTGGAACATGCGGGCTTGGCCCCCACACAGGGTGAATTATTGTTGATTTATGGCTTTTGGTGGAACGGAGCTTTCTCGTATCCGCAGCGTTCTTGGCCGTCTGCTTTTAACCTTCACTTTTGGATTAAGAATTTCCTGCTTGCAATGACCTTGGGCTGCTACGAGCTGCGACAGGGAAGAAACAGAGCAGCTGGATGCTTCTCCAGTTGAGTTTTGGTGTGTCTGCTCCCCCCAGAAGGGGCAGCTCTTCCCTCAGAGCAGAGCCCAGCAGGCGGCTTTCACCGGCTGCGACATCCCCCAGGCGAGGGAGAGGCCCGTTGCCAGCACAGCCCTGAGTGTAATACGATGTTGGCAGAAGAGCAGGAAGGAGTGAGCCAAGAAAGTGAGACCCAGGTGACCTGGAGTTTCTGGATGTGCTTGGAACAGGCCTCATGTCTGGGGGAAATAAAAAAAGCACTCTCCGATAATGATTATTATTTGCAAAAGATTGTTATTTACAAGCACTGCTGAACATGTAAGTATTGGAAAATGATTCCCGTCATCGATCACAACACAGCCCCAGTGCTGTGGGTCCGGCCCTGGGTGCACCCTCTTGGTGAGGCTGAGGGTTGGGGCTCACTCGAACACCTGGGGCCATGGAAGAGGTCACCCCCCTGTTGTGGCATGGGGGCCCCTGAGCAGCGGGCACCCCTCCTTCGGGCTAACAAGGGGTGCCAGTGCGGGGATGCTCCTGCGGAGGAGGCACCGCTCCAGAGCCGGGCACCTCGTCAGCCCTGTGTTATGCCAGCGCTTCCCAGGTGAGGCCTTTTTGGCTTTCTATTATTTTTTCCCCTTTAACCCTCAGAGAAGTTGGAAGATGCTGAGAGGCTCTTTGCTCTCCACCCCTTGCCGTGGCGTGAGCTCTTTCACAGCCCAGCGGGTGGAATAACCCTTGTAACATGGGGTCTGGTGTCTCACAGGGGCCCCGCCTGCACCACGCAATGGCACGGGGTGGCCTCTCTTCGCCCCAACAGCAGCCTTGGAACAGCTGCAGGTTGTCTCCTCTCCCTTTAGTCTTTTCCCTAGATCGGGGCAACCAGTTTTTCAGCCTCTCTGTACGGTGCTGGAGGTCGTCTTCTGTCATCCTCCTATGGGCTCCTTCCAGCCCATCCCCACCTTCCCAGAGCCTGGGGACAGCCGGTCTTCCCCCGCTGCCTCCCTTCTGCCCCTTCTGCCAGATCCCCTGTTTGTGCAGCTGATTCTTCGCAAGCTCCAAGCCTTGACTTTGTTTTTATTGAATTCCATCCTGGCTTTTTGGACCCTTCCTCCAGTTCTCCGAGATCTTATGGAATTTTAATCCCACTCTCAAATGTATCTGCAGATTCCTCCAGCCTGATCACATAGGGGGATTTAATCATCACACCATCTCCTCCATCATCCTGCTCATTAATGAATGGACTGAAATAAGCAGACGCAGCACAGACCCCTGTGCATTTTTACTGAGGAATGGGGTTTATTGCATATCCCTGCAAAGCCAGAGGGAAACTCATGCCAATTTTTACTGGCTCGGCAATGTGTTTTGGCCAATTCAAGAGACGATTGTAAAATATTTGGATGACTATAAAATATCTGAACGATTGTAAAATATGTGGGACGGTCATAAAATATTTAATGAAGAAATAGATTTTGAATATAGCACTGGAAAGCTGACAGCAAATCTAAATCACCCGCCGTACTGGGACAGAGATCTCTCCATAAACTGGGGGGAGACAGAAAGTGCCTGGAGCAGATAGAGGGGAGGGAGGGTTGGGGGTGGTTTTGGGGTGACGTGTGAGGCCCCATGTGCTGGTACCTGAATAGGCAGTTGGTGAGCTAGTCCAGAGGAACACCAGTATCATGCACGTAGCCCATGCAGGAGCCCAGTGCTTAAGCCTGGACTTTTCCCAATAAAGATAGCATTCCTCCCATGTTTAAAGAAAATACTCTTTTAAAGTGTTTTCCATCAGCAGATAAAGAAACTACCTGTGGAAGTGCAATGCGGTGACCTCTCTGCATGCCTGAAACAGGCTGCCCCGTGATACTGTGTCCAGCTGCCTAATCCACGCCTAATTCATCCCAGCTCAGCGCTGCATCGTCCACAGCAATCCTTCCCTCCCGGCCAGGCTGGGAGAGGCAGGATGCTCCCACAGTTGTGGACTTGGGAACAGAGAGTTTCCAGCCCCTGGGCTGCTGATTTTTTCCAATAAGGAAACTGTTTATAAAAATATATATATATCTGTGATATTTTAAAGGGCCGTCTCCAGCCAAGTGAGCTGTTTTCAGGTGGCTGGTGTGGACCTCACTGGGGTGGAATGGGAGGAGGGGGTGTTGGTTCTGTCCAGCATCGGCCCCCAGCACTGCCGGCACCCTAGAGCTGGAGCTCTCCCGTCCTGCTGGCCCTTGTTTCTGCATTGCTGGTTTGGGTTAAAAAGGAATCTTATTTCAAGTTAATTTAGACCTGTTCCCAATCACAACAAGCCAAAGTAATCTAATCTGCTGAGAAACCCTCACCAGAGATTTTGCCTTGCTGGAAACAAGTTTGTTTAAATCAACACTGAAAGTTAGACTAGTGACAATTTCTTGTGTGTTTGCGAAGTATCAGAGCAGGGAGTGGTGGCCATGAATGTCCCTTGTGGCTCCTGCAGCCTGGCTGCATGCCACCGGCCGCCTTGATGGCTTCATTTTAATATCTCTTTCCTAAAGACGTCCTGTCCAGCACAGTTTGAGCATGTTTGTAGTGGCAAATATGAGGATGACTGCGTTTGCTGCTGACAGTCTACTTTATTTCTATTAGCAGAGCATTGACACAGGGGTTGTGGTGTCTGCAGGGACGTTTCTGGGGTCAGCATGATGTACAAACGCGGGAACACCATCTGTTTCTTGGCGATGCAATGTTTGTTCAGTGGAACCTTTCACCTTGAATGGCAAAAGCGGAGTCCTGCCTTAGGGCTGAGCTGATGACCTGTTCACAAAGCAAAAATCTGTGGGGTTATTCCCAGGGAGAATGGCATTTCTAGCTTTCTGTTGGGGGGACGGGGGCATCTCAGGGGGAAGAAGGGATCATGCAAGTCGCTGGCCCAGCAGCTGCACGGAGAAGCCACTCCTGCCTTTGCCTTCCCCTGTGACCCAGGGGCTGTGGGGCAATCGGGTACCTACACGTGCTCGTCCGCATGCTGGAACGGATCCAGGGTTCATTGGAAGCCAGGGTCCTATCAGCTAGAAACACTAATTGCTTCTCATTGTGGTGGACGTTAATGAGCTGTTTGGTTCCTCCATTTGCTGCTGTAGGGCTGTGCCAGGCCAGTAGTGATGTCGCTCTGATCTCTCTTTTTCAGCCGGGGTTGGGGGCTGTGTCTGGATGACCCCCCTGCCCGGGAGGTGCTGGACTACCCCTTGGTGCCCCCGGGCGTCCTCTACGACGTGGGCCACCAGTGCCGGCTGCAGTACGGCGCCTACTCCACCTTCTGCGACGACATGGACGTAAGCCGGTGTCCCTCCTGACATACCCCGGGCTTGTGTGGCTCCAAGGGGGTCTCTGGGGGGAAGGGGGGCTTTGCATGGGGCTGATCCTCTCCCTGAAATTGAAATTTATGCTGGTTGGTTAGCTGGTGCAGTAATAACGTCCTGCACAACCATGTTTTTCTGCAGAGTGTCTGCAACACGCTGTGGTGCACAGTAGGGAACACGTGCCACTCCAAGCTGGATGCTGCTGTTGACGGCACAGCCTGCGGGGAGAACAAGGTAATGGGGAGCAGTCCCCTCCGCGGCTGCAGAGACTCCGCATCCTGCACACAGAAGAATTTCTCAGGTTCTGGGCACACGGGCTCACCTCGCTTCCCTGGCTCTGCCCAAACACCCACTGTTGCCAGGGAGGGGCTGCCTTCAGTGAGGCTGAAAATGCCTCTGAAGAAGGTGAAACCCACTGTTAATGACCGTGGCAGGAGAGCATAAGGCTTGTTCCGCTCTCCATCTGCTGTGGTGGTGGATGTTTGTCTCCGGGAGCTCTGGGGCATGGCAGGGTCTGGCAGCGCCTGTGTCACCACAGGGTGTGGAGGGGAGCAGCTCCGGTCACCCTTGTGTGGGACAAAGCCATCATAGGTTGCTCTTCCAGAACAGGGTTTTCCTGCCATGGTAGCATGAAACTAGAGAGTCACAAAAAGCAGACATCTCTCCTTGTTAGGCTGAGTGTCCCGAAGCCCTAGCCCCAGAGCACCAGGGATGACCTGGCCTTACCTGCCGCTCCCCACAAAACCTCCTGCTGTGCCTTTGTCCGTGTCTCTGCCTTGCTGGCTCTTCCCTCTGGGCTGGGATTGGGCTACAGATCCCCTGGCTGAGGGGTCTCGGTGGAGGTCTGGGTATGTTGCCTGAGACAAATCCTCAAACAGCCCAATATCTCTGAATTTCCCATTGCTTGCAGAGCCCAGCTGACCCCCAGGCACCTCCATGTGAGCAAAACACAGATTTTCATGGGGAAATACAGGTGCCGGACTTCGGTGCTCCCCGTGGCCGGGCTCTCTGATTCAACATCCATTATTGCATCCTTAAACCTCGTTTTCTCTTCATCTGGCCCTTTGCAGTGGTGCTTCAACGGCGAGTGCGTGCCCGTGGGTTACCGTCCCAGTGCCATCGACGGCAGCTGGGGCTCCTGGAGCTCGTGGGCCTCCTGCTCCCGCAGCTGCGGTGCGGGTGTGCAGAGTGCGGAGAGGCAGTGCAGCAACCCCACGTAAGCCAGCGCTTGCTCCCCCGGAGCTTCTCCACGCCCCAGTTAGGAGAGGAACCCAGCGCTTCCTTATTGCCCTGTAAAGCCGGGGACCATCATCTGACTGGTGCGGTCCTACTGCTGTCTGCATCGAAACTGTGCCATTGTGCAGTTAGACTGTGAACAATGCGCTTTAGAAGCACTTGGGGGGTTCATTTCATGGGGCTGTCCAGCCAGCTGGGCAGCGGGAGCCGCTGGAGTTTGCTCTGTCTCCTTCCACGGATAAGTCACTCCCACTCTGTGCAGGCAGAGCATTGCAATATGACTTGAACAAAGAGCAAAGACCCTACACTTGTAGGTGTAAACCACATCCAGTGTTCTTTAATGACAGAAAAGAAAAACAGGTGTTCTTTGAGCCCAATTCAGAGTCATTTTGAAAAATCCAGCTGCAGTTTATCACCCTGTTGCTTTCCATGAGTAGTTTCTGGTCTGTGCCCAGCAGAAGCTGCCTCCCCCAGCCTGTGGCTCCACAGCCAGTGCTGGCTCTTGCCTCGAAGCATCTGGGCACTGACAGAGGAGCAGCCTTGTCCATCCCATGATTCTTGGAGTGACCCATCTGCTCCCCAGATGTCCCCTTCATCACCCAGTGGCTGTTGTGTTGGATTCAGCCACAGCCCCGAGCTTCCCCAGGTGTCAGTGCGCCTTGGGACAGGGAGAGAAAAGGGCTCTGTGAGCAATATTCCAGGGGCATTCTCTTTTCAACGGCTTGAGGAGCTCTGATGAGCTCTCTAATGAGCCCAGATATTCTTTCTGCCCAGTATCTTCCTTGGGTGCATTGTTTTTAGCACATGCTGTCGAGCTGTTTAGAGAAGTGCTGTGTAATCTCGGTCCCAGGTCAAGAGCTGGGCTTGTGTTTGACATGAGTTTTGTGGCAGAAGTGCAATTGTAGTTTATGGAGTGTTTTAAACACAGCTGCAGGCAGGGAGGAGAGCAAACACTGGAAAAGCAGCAGAATTTCCCCAGGCAGTTGTTTGCTTTGGCCACTGTAGGTAAATCCTCAGCTTTGCCTTTTGGATGAATAAATGTGGGCACTGGGCAGTCGTCCTCCCACAGGCATTTCCTCAGGGCAGGGTATGTAAATACAACCCTAAAATAATAATTAACTTTATTCTCTTCAGCAAAGTGTGCCCAGATTTTCTGGGGGAAAAGTAATTTTCATGAGGCTGTGGGGATGTGGGCCATGGAGAATGCTGTGGCCAAAGGAAAAGGCAAGGGTCAGGAGACAGTGGTAGCATTTAGAGTCTGTTGGCATCTGAGATAAACCTTTTGTTGCTTTTAAAGTCCCTCTTACTTTAAAAAGCCCAGCAGCAGCTTTGCCGTTCCCTTGGGCAGCAGAGGAGCGCAGAGTGGGAAGCACATCCCAGGCGGGATGGAGGACAGCTCCAGAATGGGCACCAAGCTGACCTGGCCTGGGGGAGCACTGGCAAGTCCCCAGCCACATGCCCGAGGTGCTGAAGGAGATGTTTTACCCCCCAGGGAAAGGTGCCCGGCTGCAGGATGTGGGGGGGGGCTTCAGACATGAACACTGCCAGTGACACATATTTTAATAACTGCTTTTATAGCATCATATACTAGACCTATAAAATTGGCCATATTTCCAACGTAAGGGAGAGAAGACCCAAAGTGTAGCTAATCCAGCTGGAGAGCAAAAGCTGCCTTTGGTCCGTGGTCTCACCCTCCGTGGTCCCATGGCACAGTCCAGGGGCCACAGCAGCCGTGGGAAGCTGGTCCCGGAGGGACTTGGAGAAGAAGGACATGGGCTGTGGTTTCCAGGTGTTTCAAAAGCTTGCTCTTTGGAGTGGGGAACCTTCCGGGGTGGATGTTGGATTTGTAGCCGGCTCCCTTACACGGACACTGCAGTGGGATGATGTGTGGGCTGTAACTGGGAGAGCTCCCAGTTGACTCCAGGTGGATTCAGGCCTGATACAACCACCTGTGATCAAACCTTAGCAGCAGATAAGAACCCACCCTCCCTGAGCAGTGAATAAAAAGGGAATTTCCCCTTGTGTGTGGTAGGTCTTTATTTGATAGGATGAGGGGTGATGGTTTTAAACTGACAGAGGGCAGATTTAGATGAGATCTAAGAAGAAATTCTCCCCTTTGAGGTGGTGGGGCCCTGGCAGAGATTGTCCAGAGCAGCTGTGGCTGCCCCCTCCCTGGCAGGGTTCAAGGCGGGGATTGGGCGACCTGGGCTAGTGGAATGTGCCCAGGGCAGGGGGGTTGGAACTAGGTGATCTTTAAGGTCCATTCTGACCCAAATCCTTCCATGACTCTGACTTTCTTTTTTCTCCCCCATGGACAGGCCGAAGTATGGGGGCAGGTACTGCCTGGGGGAGCGGAAGCGGTTCCGGATTTGCAACGTGAGGCCGTGTCCCCGTGACAAGCCCTCCTTCCGCCAGGTCCAGTGCAGCCAGTTCAACCCCATGCTCTACAAAGGGAAACTCTACAAGTGGACACCGGTGCCCAACAACAGTGAGTTGAGGACAACGCCAGCTGCTGGGTTTCCACCCGCAAGCCCCAATTAAAAACCTGAAACGGCCTTGCCAACAGCTTGATTTTGCTGTTCATGTCTGTAAGATTTGCCTTGCTGCATGTTTATGCCATATTTTAAATTATGGCTGGGCTTGCACAGTTAATCTATGGGTTTGGAGATGGTTATGTGGCTCCCCACAGCTGCTTGGGTCTAGTTTCTGTCTATTGGGTTCCCTAGTTAATCCCTGCGAGCTGCACTGCCGGCCAGAGGATGAATACTTTGCAGAAAAGCTGCGGGATGCCGTCATTGACGGGACGCCATGCTACGAGATGAACGCCAGCCGTGACATGTGCATCAACGGCATCTGCAAGGTGGGTCCCGCGCTGAGGCCGCTGGGGAGGGACGCCAAGGACCACCCTGTGCTTGGGGACATGCAGGCGGGTGTTGTGACCCCTCCCGAAGGTGAACGCTGTCCCTGCTCTTGCATGCACTGATGCACTGAGCTTACTCGTTTTGTCAGGAAGCTGTCCTTGTTTCCGTGAGACATGCGATACAGATGAATTTCAGCCTTTGGGCTGGCCTCAAGAAAATAGAACACAAACCCAAGGAAAAGAAGGAAGAAAAATTTCACTTGAAAATAAGGTTGGGGATATGTAAGGGCATATAGAAGATGCCCAGCCCTGCTTCCCGAGTGTGGCTGGTGCTGGTGGCCACGGGTCTGACCTAGAGTGATGGAGATGCCTCCCCAGGCTTGGCCGCCTCTCCCAGCATTGGGATTTGTCCTTCCGTCTGAGATGTTATTTTTCTTTCTTGGAAGCTCCCTACAAGCGTGCAGTGGCGTTCCTCTGGCTGCTGGCCGGGGAGGGGATCTCCCAGTGTGGGAGACGCAGGAATCCGGTGGGGATGGCGTGGTCTGTGCTGTGGATCATCTGGGAGGTGCTGGGGAGGCTTTGCTGAGCTGTGCCTGGGTCCTCCAGCTGCCTTTGTTTGCAGCATGATGGTCCCTTGATTCACACCTTCCCTTTCCCTAGGGGAGCGGTCCTGAGGTGTATAAATAAGAGCACATGTCAGACACTGAATTTCTGTTAAATTAGGGAATTGGTGACAATCTGAGCTGCTGTGGTGCTGCGGTCTGCAGGCAGATTCCCACCATGGGACATACTGAAGCCACGCTGCTGTAAAGTGTGCCCGGGGGGGGACGCGGTTGGGTTTGCCATAGTGTTAGGTAAGATGTTTTCTGAAAGGCTTTTTAGCAAAATAGGCTTTCTGGACAGCACAAAGAGAAGCAGGAAAGAGGGAAAATAATCAGTCAATGAGTTTCCTTGCAATCTCTTATATAAAAACCATTCATGGAAACTTCCCCCTCTCTTGCTGGCCGTGCTGCCGGCAGCAGCAGGCAGGGGCCCAAAGCAACTGGAGGCTCTGAGAAGGTCCCATTTCCTCCTGTAATGGGCTGTAAGTTACTTCAAAGGCTGCAGCACACAGATGCAGAGGCATGAGCTGGAGGGAGAGCGCCGGGGTTATGATTTTTACTTGGCGCGTACAACAGGGCGCAATCCAGCAGCTCGTGGCAGATGACAGCACGTTTAGTCAGAGTTCACTGCACATAAAATCCTCATCGCTGCTGAGCCTGCGGCTGGCTGCAACACTAGAGTTAAACCTGGCTCACTGCAGGCTCTTTCAGTAGTTAAAACAGGGCTGCTTCTGCTGTAGGTGTGTGCTGGGGGCGCCTGGGCACCCCCTCAGGCAGTGGAGGCTGAAGGCTCTATGCTGCCATGGAACCCAGTGGGACCCTTTGGGGTCTTGGCTGCGGTTTTTATGGTGCAAAATCACAGGAAGGCTCTTGCTCTGCACAGCTTAAGCAATGTGGCATGAGGTGTAGAGAGTTTCTACAGAGCTCTAGAGAGTTTCAGCAGAATATAAAACAGGCTTTCAGGAAGTGTTTTGAAACGGGACTAGCAGAGCCAAGGGCTTTCCCAGCTTGGCTTAGCACAGAACGTGTGCTGACAGGCTCTTCTGCCTGGGGACTTGGGTAGGAAAAGGTAAAAATGAGGTGTAGGTCATGGTCCTCGCTGTGTGCAAACAAGACAGCAGGACCATGGGGATGTGTTAGAGAAACCCATATTGCAGCAGACGTGGCTGCATCGCTGCCCATCCTGCAAAAAGACTCCAGCTCATCCTTCTCTCCCACCCACGTTCCTTATTTCCCACCATTTAGGACCAGAGCTGGTCCTCCCCTACCTTGTTCTCCCCGTGTCGGTGGGTGGTGGCATGATGGGGGGCTGGGGGATGCAGATGGCTGACGGGGCTGCCTTGCAGAACGTGGGCTGCGACTACGAGATCGACTCCAACGCAGTGGAGGACCGGTGTGGCGTCTGCCATGGGGACGGCTCCACCTGCCACACTGTCAGGAAGACCTTCGAGGACAGCGAGGGGCTGGGTAAGGGCGCTCAGCTCCGTCCCCAAATCACCAGGTGCCTGTTCTGCTCAGAGCTGGGCTCGCTGCTGCTGCTGCTCCTTTGCAGTGTGATTTTTTTTTTAATCCACACTCATTTATTTTGTTGGGATAAGACCTGAGCAGCAGCACAGAGAGATGTGGTGTTGCCTTTCTACTTCTTGCTCCTTAGAAGAAAAATAATTCCTTCCTGCTCTTTGTGTCTAAAGGCTTGAAAACAAATCTGTGCATGCTGAGTCTGGTTTGGAGAAGTTTAAGGGGATTTGTGGGTTGACAAGGACATGTTGAAAGAGTGGTAAACGCCTTGCCAGCACCCATGTGGGAAATGTCTCTCTGCGATGGGCTCTCGCAGAAGGGAACACAGCTGGGCACAGTGCAAGGTGAGGTTTGGTACATGCAGGTGCCTTAGAGGGGTAAGGATTGGCATGATGCTGGCACCCACCTGAGGGCATGGATCATCTCTGCCACATTTTTGACTCGCCCAAGACCAATGCTCAGTTCTGTTCCCAGGTTATGTCGATATCGGGATTATCCCTGTGGGAGCCCGGGAGATCCGGATTGAAGAAGTTGCAGAAGCTGGGAATTTTCTGGCGCTACGGAGCGAGGACCCGGAGAAGTATTTCCTGAACGGTGGCTGGACCATCCAGTGGAATGGGGACTACAGGGTGGCAGGGACCACCTTCACCTACAAAAGGACAGGGAACTGGGAGAACCTCACCTCCCCGGGGCCCACCGTGGAGCCCGTGTGGATCCAGGTATGGTCCAGGATCTGCTGGTGGTCAGGGTGTGTGGTGGGGAGGATGAGGAGGGGCAGAGCCACTGGATCTCCTGCCTCCCCTTGTGGGGCTGAGCTGCTGCCATCTCTCATGGCAGTTCGCTGCTGTCTGAGGGATGGGGCCACGTTTCTCTGGGAGCCAACGCCAGGAGCAGCCGAGCACACGCTGCTGGCCCAAGGAGCGTGTTTCCAGTCCATATCACTTCCCCTGAGCCTTGTCCCTTTTGCAACATTCCTCAAAATATTTACAAAGTAGAGAGTGTGAGGAGAAAGAGCCCATTTCCTGAGGCCTCTCCCATATCTTATCAAGAGCAGGGGAAGAGTCCATGGCACTTCTGGCAGAGCTGGAGCAGCCGGCAGCAGCGCTGGGAGCTGGGAGCCATCACGGTGATGTGCACAGTGTCAGAGGGTGGCCCATGAGCACCCCTTGGCTGTGCCAAGCTCCCGCCGGCACCACGTCGAGGAGTTCAGCCCATGGGCTCTGGCTCTGTGATCTGAACCCGGGTGATGCCGCCCAGGGTGCTGCAGGTCAGGCTCTGCTTCCTCGCGAAAGCCCTTGAGGCAGAAGGTGAAATTCCAAAAGGAATATTTGAAATCCTCTGAACCAACTAGAAATTTCAAGTTTTACCCTTTTTTTTTCTTTTTTTTTTAACATGGACAATTCTGTAAAACTACTTCCCTCCCCAGAATAAGTTGTTCTTGTTCATCGGACCCCTGAGGCTTTGAGGAGGCGAGCCCATCAGGGAGTGATGCTGCCTGGTGTCAGCCACCGCTCCCAGGGCAGGGGAGGGCACCCAGGACCTGCCACTCTGCCTGGGTCTGGGCAGGAGACCTTACAATTAATCACATGGTCCAAAAAAAAAAAAAAAAAAAAAAAAAAAAAAAAATTTGCATTGCAGCAGTCTATTTCCAGGGTGGCAGAGTTGTGGGCAGGAAAAGATCATGTGCCCAGCTCCTGCTCCCGTCAGCATTGCCTCAGCAGGCAGCCCTCGTGCAGAGCAGGCAGCGAGGGAGCAGACTTAGATAATGAACTTCAGGCGTTATTTATTTCTCTGTGACCTGCACACCCTAACAGTTCTTTTCTTGCTGGATTGGTAGGAGAGACTTGGTCTTTGCCCCAACAATGGGAGCACAAAGTTGCTTCCCCAAGGTTGTGTGGCTGCCCAGGGACTGGTCTTGCTCCGAGCCTGGCCGCTGCCCCTGCTCCCCAGGAATCCCCTTCTCGAACTCACACATCCTGCAGACACTTTTATCATGAACCCAACTTGACCGTTGCTAATCCCCCCCTCTGCTGCAGCCGTGGCAGCTCTAGCCCTTCTCTGGAAATTGCCTTATTTTGCAAACTGATCCCACTCTATTAACTTTTGCTTTGTTTCCATGGAAGAGCCTTGCCTGGGGGATTACTTTTCAGCATGGCTTTATATTTCAGTGAGCTTTGCACAGCTTACAGGGGTTATAGCTGTTGGTGTGGAGGGTGGTGGAATGGCAGCATGGGGGGGGGGCTCGGGGCCGTCCCACTCCCTTTCAGGAGCTGCTGCTGTGCTTGTCTCGGCAATTTCCTGCCCGGGAATGGCCACTGAGACGGTCAGAAGTGAGGGATCTATCGGTTAATACAAATCCTCGTGCCTGTGAGGCCAGGAGAAGCCACTGGGAATCATCCCCTGGCCGGTATCAGGCTGAACTCTTCATGGTGCAGTGTGTTGCAGAGGTGGTGACCACCACGGGGGTATGTCCCAGACCCCCCCAACCCCACAATCACAGTTCAGCCCCACGGGCTCTTCCCCAAGCATCAGCCCTTTGCAGAAACTGGCCCTGGAGCCCGGCCACACCAAGCAGCCAAGTCTGTGTCTTTCGCCTTTCTTTCAGCAAGAGGCTCAGGAAGAAATGTGAGCGGGATCCTGGGCTCGCGGGCCGCCAAGTGCTGCTGTTAATGGGAACGCTGGCGTGCTCAGCACCAGCAAATAATTTTCTGGGATTCGTAACCTAATTAAAACCTTTTGAAAAAAAATGTTTCAATGTTCACGAAGAGGTTTTGGAAAGACGCCCTTGCTCCTGCCAAAGCTCCAAGAACAACAAAGCTTTGGCGATAATGGGAGCACTTAGGCTAAGAAAAACAAGGTTAAACTCCCAGCCTTTGCCGAGCACTGGTGCGGAGGGTGCTTTGGGCAGGATTTGTGTCAACCGCTGGAGCTGCTTTGTGCACGTTGAGAGCAGTGGGAACCTGTTTCAAGTGGGGAGCACTTAAGGAAGTGCCTTCAGGCGTGTGTCGCCATCGCTGGCGTTGGCTGCTGGTGGCTCCCTCCTGTTTGCCGCAGCCCCTTCTTCCACTGCAGGAACGGGGTGTCACACCGGGCTGAGAGCGAAAACCTCCTGCCCCAGCTCTGACTTCAGGGAACGGGATGGGGAAGGGGATGTCAGGACATCCTGGGCCCTTCACTGGGCTGAACCTTTGGAGGGGCCTTGGATGAGGCTGAGTACAATGGTGGGACTGAACAGGATTAACAGGGGAATCCTTCCAGGGGAGACATAAAACCAAAGTCCTGCTGGCTCTCAGTGTTCTCACTGTTATTTTTTATTATTACCTAATGTTTCCACAAGCCCAGTGCTCACAGCTGGGGCAGCTCCTCTGCTCCTACATCACTTTGGCCATTTCCTAACCCTGTTTCTGGAAAGGTCCTGTGGTGCTGCTGGGGTACGGCAGCTGGAACCATTGCTGTCCCCACCCACAGACAGTGCAAGGGGACAAAACCAGCCTTGGGTTAGAGCTGGACATGGAATGATGTCTTTATGGCAGGTTGTTACCTTCTGAAAAGACCCTGGAGGGCACCAGCTGCCCCCCTGACCGGCCACTGTCTCCCAATAGCTGCTGTTCCAGGAGACCAACCCTGGTGTGCGGTACCAATACACCATCCAGCGCCCAGCCGACAGCGAGAACGAGATCGAGCAGGCTGAGTTCCTCTGGCGCTTCGGCTCCTGGACTACGTGCACTGCCACGTGCGGGACTGGTGAGTCCAGCACCTGTGGGACCCCGGGGCTCAGCTGCCCGTGGTGGAGGAGCGGGGCAGGCAGAGTGTCACCATACCGTGGGGATGCCTTAGAAATTCCTGGGTCTTTGGTTTCAGGAGGTCTTGGGGGTGGGGGAAAGAAGTGACATCTGCTGAGGTCACCACTCTCTGGTGCCCTCACCCCATTCGCCAGCCGGACCTGACACTTTATCAGTGCTTTGCTCCTTCCTCGGTGTCCTGTTACTGGGCCGGGTGTTCCTCGGCATCAGAACGATGGAGACAAAAGAGCTTTAGAGAAATTCAGGGAGTGTCGAAGGACCAGTCTCCTGCCTGGCTGGGCCTCTCCAGGGAGGATCGTTTCCAGGGCTTTATGGAGAGCACGTGGGAGGGTGCCAGATGTGGGCAGAGCTCTGGGGTCCTGTGCTGCCACATGGTGTTGGATATTCACTTCCCCTCTTCTGACACACTGTACTGCTAGCCAGGCATCCCAGGGCCCCCTGGGCAGCTTTTGGGGTGGCCATTGGAAAGGGACGGTCTGGGCACGCTGCACGGGGTGAGGCTGGGACCAGCAGGCAGTTCCTCGAGAGCAGCTGCCACTGAAAAAAGGGGAAATTAAGGAGGCTCATGCTTTCTAGGTAGTGCAGAGTGCCAGGAGACATTTCCTGCCTGTTCCTGGAGATGGGTGTGGATTCCTGCTTGGAGCAGGAGGGTTGTGGTGTGGCAGGAGCTGGCAGGGTGTTTTATGTACATTTACACTGGGAGCTCTTTGCTCTGGGTTTGCTCAGGCCCTGCAGGGTGGGGAGTCCAGGAGGATGGAAGGGCACTTGCTTTTGTTTAAAACCCGCTTTTCTTTGCAAGGTTTGAGTGCTTGGCTTCCAGAACAGAAGGGAAATACAGGAGCAAGTGAGGCAGGAGTCGGGTGAGGATGCTCACCCTGTCCAGCCACAGCCAAGTGGCTGGAGGAGGGTTGAGCCCCTCTCTCCGGCTGGATGATGGTGTGAGCTGAAACATGGGATTTGGGGGAGCTCAGGCTTCCGCAGGGGCCAGCCTCAGGGCCCCAGCCCTGTCAGCCCCGTAAGCTCCTGAGCGCTTGAGCTCAGTAGCTTCAGCATGGTCGTTATTAATCTCGGCCAAGGACAGTGGTTAATCTTTACAGTTCTCCCAAATCACGGGTCAAGTTTGTGTTGCAGAAAGGAACACAAAAGCAGCAGCGAGGCAGCGTGTTGAGGGCGAGTCATCCTGAAAAACATTGTCCCGTGAGCACTGCAGCCCAGGGCCTTTGGTGGGTGATTTATCCGTGAGCTGGGGCTGGATCAGAAAGCTGACAAAAAAGAGCTGTGCTGCTGCTAGTTGGCTCCCCTTTGGACACAGCCTCCCCAGAAACCTCAGTGTATGTGTGTGCGTACATGCAGACACGTTCTCTGAAGGCTGGATGTGACTCTGGGCAGTGGTGCCAGGATGCTGCTTCCCTCCGCGGGCTGCAGCATCTCTACTGTTGGCCATCCTGCCCCACACATCCTCCTCCACGTGGCTTTAGCAGCCCCAAGGACATGGTGCATCCTGCACCATGGCTGCGGAGGCTTTTTGCAAGGGGAGAGGTGGGAAAAGGCTTTTCCCCCTGGCCCAGAGGTCCCTCCAGTGTTTTCTGCAGAGCCCTCAGCAGGTGCAAACTATTAAATCCTATTGGGCAGCTTGTGGAAGGGTGTTTTTCTGCATCTCTTTATATACGACTATCTCTCTTATATATGATTATAAACGCTGTAGGGTAGTAAAGGTTTTACTCCAGAGATTCCTGCTCAGCAGCTCGCCCAGCAATGCCCTTTGCATTGCCTGTGATCAAAGGAGGCATCTGGGGACCACCAGGACCAAGCTGGGGTCGTTACAGGACTTTGAGAGTGGGATACAGCAGAATGGTGCTGATGTTCCTGCTTTTAACTCATCTTGTCCCTGTGAACTGCTGGATACAGAGACCAAGCAGCAGGAGAGTGAGCAGAGAGGTCCCGTGGAGGTTGCGAGGTTGAAGCAAGCTGTCTCTCTGTGTCTGGGGTCTGCTGATGTTTCTGGCCGGGGTTGCCCTCACCTTGTCTTATGTGGAAACTCCTGCCATTCCTTAGCTATTTCCTGATGTCCCTAAGCCCTGAAAGAACAGGTATAATACAGCATCTTTTTTCTAAGGGAGAACGAGATTTGCCAACTCTTTCTGCAATGTTTTTAGCTTTCTGTGTGAGCAGCCCTGGTGTGGTTTTGGGGCAGGAGATGAGGTTTCCCTTGTGCTGGACAGACAGACTATGTCCTGCCAGCCCCAGGGATGGTCTTTGGCTGCCTGTAATGCCCAGGACCCCATGTTCTGGCTGGACTGGTGTTCCATCCATCCATCCATCCATCCATCCATCCATCCATCCATCCATCCATCCATTCCTCCATCCCCAGGTGTCCCTACTTTGCAGCGGCCTCATTTTCCAGCCTAGTTGAGAATGGCCAGCGTGAGGTTAATGGCTGGGCTAGATGATCTTCAAGGTCTTTTCCAGCCTCAATGATTCTGTGATTCTGTAAGCTCTGTGGTTCTCATCACATACATGTCCAAGACCAGGCATCCAGCTCTGCTTTTCTTACCTGGGCACACTGGAAGCACTGGTGCCATGAGGCTCTGTGAGGGCGTCAGTACCTCAGCAGAAGTAGGTGCTCGACTTCCAGTTTCAGTAGTGGTTTCATGTTCTTTCCCCTGTTTTTGGTGGCTCAAGCTTACCTTAGGGCCTCCTGTTGCCCACTGGCAGGGGGTGCCCGGCGGTTCGGTTCGATTTGTCTCTAGCCAGGCCCTCGCGTGTGTCCACAGGGGTGCAGCGGCAGGTCGTGCACTGCGTGGAGAAGCTGGCCGGCATCGTGGAGGAGCGGTACTGCGACGCGCTTACCCGCCCCGACGACCAGCAAAGGACATGCAGTGAGGAGCCCTGCCCGGCCAGGTCCGTGGGCTTCCCCCTCCCTCTTTCTCAGTAAAGCTTTAATGTCCAAATTGCCCGAAGGGGGTTGCCGGAGTTGGGGGACCCTCAGTCACTGCGGTGCCTGGATTGCACCAGGACATGTGCAGCTATTTGCACCCCTGGGTTTGCACCTCTCCTTCATGCTTGAGAATGGGTCCCAGACCCTGCATTGGTCCATGGGAGCAGATCTCAGTGGTTGCCCAGCTGCTGTAGTGTGCTGCTTGTCCACAGCTGCATGGGCAGGCCCTGTCCTGGAGCCCTTTGGTGCAAAGAACCATCCCCGGCACAACATGGAGACTAGTCCACCCCCAACCTTCGGGCCAGGCACCCTGACCTTGGGCTAAAACACAAGTTGGGATCTTAATTTCCCCGTGACCCTGGGCCCCACTGAAGTATTTCACGTGCATTTCCTTGGCCTTAAACACCTCTTGGCTGGCTAAAACCCCCCACCTCACAGTGGAGCACGGGACAGAGCCCAGCTCGTGGCTGCTCGTGCCAGCTGAGACATCTCCCCCTTCATGTTTCCCCAGGTGGTGGGTCGGTGAATGGCAGAAATGCTCAGCCACCTGCGGCCAGTCAGGACTGATGAAGAGGACGGTGCTCTGCATCCAGAGCGTGGGGCTGGACGAGCAGAGGGCCTTGCAGCAAGCAGACTGCCAGCACCTCTCCAAGCCAGATGCCACCATGCCCTGTCACCAGGATGTCCCCTGTCCCTCCCAGTGGGCTGCAGGGAACTGGTCCGAGGTGAGAAGGAGCGTCGGGAAGATCCCAGGTTCTTACAAAGCTGGAGGGAGCTGGGGACAAAGTGCCCCCAGACATCCTCAGCCTGCCCAAGGGTGAAGGACATGCTCCTGATGACAAGAAAAGCTTATGGATGCGTTTCTGTGGGCTCATGTTGTAACACTAGCTCACATAAACGTGAATTCCATTGCACGGGAGGGTCTCGGGGTGAGGAAGGAGCACCAGACTGACTCTGCCCTGTCTTCTCTGAGTCTTGCTGCTCCCTCAGTCAGGGTGATGGTCATACTCCGTGCTGGTTGCAAGGAGGGCAGAAACAAGGCATTCAACCCCTTAATATATTTTCCAGCACCACAGGTCTTCCCCTTTATTTTGGCAGAAGCCTTAAAATAATTTCTTGCAGGGTGTTAGGGTCAAGCTGGGGTCTGGGTGCTACGGGTATGTGTGTACTGATCAGTGGGCATCTGCTCTCTGGCAGCATGACCTGGCATTGGGCAAAGCTGCCTCATCTCTGCTGCAGGGGTGGGCAGAGACAGGGATGCCCCCAGGGAATGGGGAGGGCATCACAAATTTTTCAACAATTTTTTTTAAAAAAGAAAGGGAAAGATCAAAAAACCCCCCACGTATAAAATGTCATGGTCTCTGGGCACCCTGCATAGCCTTTATTTATTTTTGTATTTCTGCGGATTGGGTTAACCTCAGGTTGAGGGTTTTAACCAGAAAATTATAACCCCTAATTTAAGCAGTGGTTTCACAAAGTATTCAGCGTGAAGACAAATATCAGGAGAGAAATGAGAGAGCCTGGGAACTGGCTTGTTGCTAAGAAACAAACGGAATAAAAATGCGAACAGAAAATTTGAAGGCTAAATGAGAGCTATTTAGAAATATTTTTCTAGGGGCCCACAAAAGCCACAATTGCAGGGCTGAGAAAGACAGATGCAACAGTTTAAAGGGAAAGTCATGAATTGCCCGTGGGTCTGTGCATGGAGCCAGCCCAAGTCATCCTCTGTGGTGTTGACATCAACAGATATGTGAGCCCAGGAAAAATGTGCTCAAGATTTTGAGATGTCTGTAATTTTTATGTCCTCCTGCTATTTAAAGTGAGAGCCCTCCTTCTTTTTCTTAATTACCACCACCACCAGTTAGTAGAGAAATCTGAGGGGTTTGGAAGCTTCCCAGAGACGTGGTCCTTCTGCCCAGTGATAATAACGGGGGTTATTGGGTGTTTTGTACTTGCAGATGCTGGGGCAGGGCCCCACGCCCGCCTGCCTGGCGCTGGCAGCACCCAGCCGGCCCGCGAGGCCAGAGAGGTTATTTGCGGTTTGGGCAGCCCAACAAAGTTGCTTAAACACTGGCACTTGGTGCCTTCAGAGGGACACTAAAGCAGTGTATATCCAGCTTTATGGACTTCCCAATTGAAGTTAGCGGTGTGGCTTATTTGTTGTCCATTAAGACATGAACGGGAGCGTCTGTGTCTAGGCAGGAACACATCCCACCCTGCAGCCCGCTATGATGCCTCCTGCAGTCATGTGGTTGATGCTGAACCCTCCTGCAAGCTCTGGGTGTTCCTCTGCGAGGCTCTGAACAGCCAGCCTTTCTTATCTGTGTCCCGGAGGCTTTCCTGATAATGGAGCCTTGGCAAATAACCCCTCTCCTTCTCCCTGCAAGAGCTGTGATCCCTGGAATTTATCTCCTGGATGGAGCTGAGGGCATTTGCTGAGAAATTTTAGCTGAAGGCGCACACTGTGGGTGCTGACCTCTGTTTTCCCTGTTTGACAGTGCCATCCCAGCAGGGAAAAGCAGCTTGCTTGCACCCCTCCCACTGATGTTAATGGGCAGTAATGTTGTATTTTGCAACGTTGTGTAGCTGATGGACATGCCTGGCAGTGGCCATGCTGTGTTACAGACTGTCCCTCCTGCCAGGCACAGTCCTCAGGGTTGTTTCTGCTCCCACCCAGCATCGCCCAGAAGACACGGAGCTGGGGGGGGCCACAGCCAGGTTCTTTTTGCACCCACCCAGGAGGGGCACAGAGAGCAGAACGGGTCCTGACCAGGCACCTGGCCCTCGCAATGGCTGAACAAAGAGAAGAAAGGCTCAAAATACAGGAATGTTTATTGTCTGAGAAGCACATCTCCCGGCCAGCCCAGCCCAGCAGCTCTGCCTGTCCACTTTAATCTCTTAATTTCCACGTGCTGGTGACTCTACATGAAGCCCTTGCCTCAGCCATCTGTTTTTACCCAAACAGCAGGGATTTCAGCAAAAATCCCCTCCATTGGGTTTGTTTGCCTTGTTGACCGTTTGTTCTCCTTGGCCAGCTTGTATAAGGCGCTTTGATGTACGTGACTAATGCTCTGTGCATCTGTCACTGCAAACTGCTGTGGCCTGTGGCTTGTGCAGCCCATGTGTGATGTTAGTAGCACTAGGATTTACTTATCCAGCAGAAAATTTTGTTGTCGTCCTTTCCAGCTTGTGGGTTTCTTTTATACTAAACAATCTCAAAGAGACCATTGTGGTGGAGGAGGGGGTGTCCTCAACAAAGCTGCTTATTGACCCTTGCTTTTTCCCTACTAGGACAACACCCATGTTATTATCCCCTGCTTCAAAAAATTCTCTTCTGGAAGAAGAGATGTAATTCATGGTGATAGGTCACAGAAAAGGCCTATTAGATCATCTTACCCAACGCCCTTCACAATGTCCATCTCCCGGGAAAATTGTTTCTGGCTGGAGTACAGGTCAAGGATCACCCTGACCAAAGCACCCTGCCATACCACCCCTGCCCTGGCATGGGGAGGCCACCCAGGGGGGGCTTTGTCCAGCAATAACACTGCTTACTGCTGTGACCAGTACCCGCTGCTCCTCACTCCTGGTACAGGGCACCCTGTGCCCCAGCTGGGCCTGGCACAGCAGACATTTCGGGACCTGGGTGGGTGATGGGAGCGTGGCAGAGTGACATGGAGCCCCTTCTCCCTGTACCCAAAGTATTGTGGCACGTGGGATGGGTGAGCTTTCATATCTCAGAGGGGAGCACCAGTGAGGGGCATGGGCACCATGGCTGGCCCCTTCCCCGCTCCTCCTGCATCACCTGCGCTCCTGTCCCTGACGTTTGCATTTCTCTTCCTTTCCCAGTGCTCTGTGACATGTGGAAATGGGACACGGCAGCGCCCTGTTTTCTGCAGCAACAGCACTGGGGCAGCCTGTGACCCTGCAGAAAGACCCAGCTCGGAAACTATTTGCTCCTTGCCGCAGTGCCAGAAGAAATTAGACAATGCCAACACAGACTGGTCTGGCAGCGGGTCCTCCAGCAGAGAGATATTTAATGAAATCCATTACATCCCCAGCAACCACATTGCTAAATTTAACCCCTTAATTCCAAATATTCCAGAGTCCAATGATGTCAATATCATCACTGAGGAGGACTTCTCAGCCAGGAAGGGAAATGTCTTTGTTGATGATTTTTACTATGATTATAATTTTATCAACTTTCATGAGGATCTGTCTTACTATCCCTTCACGGAGAAGGACACCAAAGGTGAGGAGCATAAGCCAGAGCTGAACACCAATGATGTGGAGGGGCCCCGTGAGATGCCTCCTGACGTCCTGCACACTGCCAGGCCAGGAGGAGGAGCGCCCGAGGACCATCTGAGGACCAACAAAACAAACGCTTCTACTCCTGTGCATGGTGAAGGAGAGACAGAGCCTGGGGGTTTAGCCATGAATGACCTCCTGAGCATGGTCCCCAAGGATGTGGGGACAACCCCTCCTAAATTTGCCAGCCCGGATTTCATGGGTGAGGAGGAGGACGTGACACTTGTGCCCCGCTCCGAGGACCACACGCCCACCCAGAGCACCACGAGTCATGACTCTGTAAGCAGCCCCGACCACCCGCCCCTGGATGAAGCCTGGGGAGCTGTGCCGACGAGGGCTGGTCCTGGGCAGGATACTCCAACCCGTGACCTCACTCCCTGGACTCCTTACCCAGCTGATCCCTCCCCGCCGCTGCCCGCTGCCAGGGGCAGTGTGGGCACAGACATGTCCGGCAGCGTGGGAGAGCCGGGGAGCCATGGCGAGGGGCATGCAAGCACAGAGGGGCCCGGTAACGCTGGCAGCGAGAAGCATGAGGTGGTCGGGTCTGCGGGGAGAGGCCAGGGAGACTCAAGGGAAAGGAGTCTCATCATCACTAACGGTGCTTCCCCCAAGGCCAAGGAGCAGGAAGGGTGGTCAGAAATGCCAGCACCAGAGGGGACGGCAGGCACACATGCAGCACTGGTGGCCAATGAGCAAGCCCATGGGACAGAGAGGGCAGGTCTTTCCTTCCCCACCCTGTGGGGACTGGGGTGGGAGATGGGAAGCAGGACTGGTGGTACTCATCCTCCTGCCAGTCCCTATCCCACGGGTGCTGATGGGAGCTCCATGGAGCAGGCAGAGCATCCACCAGAGCTCCGCACCCCCACATCCCTGAGCTCATCCCCCTTGGGGGCCACTACAGCCTTTTCACCAGCAGTGCCCCTGTCCCTAGCCATGTCCAGGCCAGCCACCCAGCTCACATCCAGCAGCCTCACCCAGCAAGATGCCCTGGCCCACAGCCCCCCCATGCACCTGGCAGGAGCATCGCCCTCTGAGTACCCCCCAGCGTGGTGGACTGTGGGGGTATCCCACCCCCCAGCATCGCCTCATGCAGAGCCGACCTCCCGCGGGGTCCTGCTCAGCAGCACCATGCCAGGGAGACGTTCACCATGGGCAACCCCAGGGACATTTGCTTTCAGCGATGGGGAGCATGAGTTATCCCAGCCCACCCCCCCGCTACGCTGGGAGATGGAAGAGACGGAGAAGGAGGAGGTTTGGATTCTGCCGTCGGCCACCATGGCAGCCACTGCAATGCCCAGCTGGGAGGTCGGGAACTGGAGTGAGGTGGGTGTTGAGTTCCATTAAAAGTGTGATGTGGCTGCTGCGAAGGCGAGGGGCCTGTCCCTCCCTTGGCTGGTCTGCTCTTGGTGTGCAAAAAATATGCACAGCTCACCCAGATGTTTTTGCATTTTGACTGAATACTGAAGGCCCCCAGCACCATGGGGCGGAGCAGGGATGCAGCTGGTCCCACCGTGGGCCACAGTAGCCGGGAGCTGCTCCCTGGGGTGAGTCAGCAGCCGTGTCCCACCCTCTGGCTGCTGCTCCGTCCTGTCCCGCTCCCTCGGGCACCAGCAACTTGTGCCCTGCCATGCCCAGCTCAGCCCATCCTGGCACCTTTCCAAGCAGCCCCCGGCTGCATCCCTGGCCCACCTCCCTGCTGCCCTCCCTGGCAGGGAAACACGTTCCCCACCCAAATCCCTGCCCGCTCTGGAGGAGCAGGTAAATCCAGAGCCCCTGCACCAGGGCTGGGCACCCTGCAGACCCCATGGCACAGGAGCAAGCTCCTGCCATTGTACAGGAGAGAGTATCTTAAAACATGCCATGGGAAGAGATTTAAATGTTGAGTTTAAGGCGCATGGAGGCTGCAAGTTACCAAAGGGAAGGGACTGTGCTGAATGCAGTGAATGGGGGATTATCAGCAATTATCAGCGATCATCTCCCAGTCCGGCTGTCCTGGGGCTGCTCCCTGCATCTCGTTGGCAGTGACAGACAAATGCCTGCTACAGTTCACAGGAATGGGCTTTTATCAGAAAGCACAAAAATAAGAAACCTCCAGTGTTGTGGAGCACTGGAGACTGAGCGTTGGGGGAGCCTTTTAAGAAGTCTGCACAAAGAAGCCAGTAATGGTCAGGGCAATGCTTAATACCAGCAAAAATACAGTCTCACATGTGGGTTTTATAAAAGGGCTTTGAACATTACTTGAGCTGGGGCGTTGGAGGGAGGTCTGCCCCGGAGAAGGCACTGGTGACAGTGCTGGCACACAGAGGCACATGGGTGTGTTCTGAAAGCCCGGCAAAAGCTTTTAAGATGGAAAGGCTGCTAGAAACTAAATCAGATCCATCTGGACAGAGAGGGGTGGATCCAAAAGAGGAGGTGGAGGCACTGCCTTTCAGGTGGAGAGAAATCTTTACTGGAGCTTTTAACACTGAAAGAGCAGGGGACAGTGCTTGTGAAAGGAGGACATGAAAGAGAGCTTCATGAGACAGGAGTCAAAGGGTTGGAGCCATTAGTGCTAATTAGAGAGACCTAGCAACAGAAAAGCTAAAGGCACCCCGAGCTGCAGAGATCCCCAGTGCTGCCCCGTTTCCCACCAGGGCGCTGGCGCGGGGCAGTAGCCATCGCTGCTAGGGTCAATCCTCCTGGAACCTCAAAGCTGAACAGGGAAAGGACAGTTCCAGCCAGACCAGAAATGACCGAAATGGGTTATGGAGGAGGGTTTTCCCCCTCCTTCCCCCAGACCAGAGTCTACCTGATGTGGGGCTGGTAGAGGGGAGCCTCTCATGATGCAGAGCTCACCATGGATCTGGGTCCTCTGCTGGGCAGTGCTGGGCACAGCCTCTGGGAAAACTCTTCTTTTCATGTCATTCCACACCCCTGCCTCCATGCACCCCCATTTTCCTGGCACCCCTCCCAGTGCCACAGAGGAGGCGACAAGCTGAGTCCCCAGGGACCTTTTTACTGGGCCACCAGGCTCTGTCCTTAGCCAGAGCCAGCCACGGGGCATCCTGAGGGGTGTGGGGGGCATCGGGAGATGCAGAGGAGCAGGATCTCCTCGTGTGTTGCAGTGCTCGGCCACCTGCGGCGTGGGTGCGATCTGGAGGACTGTGCGCTGCAGCACTGGCACCGATGATGGCTGCGCCGCTGCGAACAAACCTGTCCCCGCTCGGAGGTGTTTGCTGAGACCGTGCTCATCCTGGCGCGTGGGGAACTGGAGCAAGGTAAACAGGCACACGGCTGGTGGAGAGGGTCCCAAAAAATCCATGGAGAAATGCAGCAGGTGGTGCCTGCCCCGTGGCTGGAGTGGTGCAGTCTCTGGCCCTGTGCCTCACAAAGGCAGAGGGTAAAGTTTTGCATTTGCCGCAAAGGTGAAACCACTTCATCCCACAATAATATTTTCATTTTTCCTGCTCTTGAGCTGGTGAAAAAGCTGGGAATTTGTAAAAGCTAAACAAAGGGTTGTTTGAAAGTCTCTAGAAAACGCTCTGGCCACTCTGCACTACCGGCGTGTTTGCAGTTGGGTGAACCCGATGGGTTCAATGGTGGGGAACAACCCTCCTTGCTCTGGGTGGGTGCTGCCCCTTGGGCAGTTGTCTAACGCATAATGACTTTGTTGCTGTTACAACTGGAAACCGATGGTGTTCAGAGGGACCGTAGTGACAGATTCAGAGCTGCATGGACTTTTCTCTAGCTTGGACTAGAGAAAGAGGTGGAAAGAGGTTGAGTATCAACTCAATCCAACCCAAGGCAGAGTGTCTCTGGGGTCACCTCCATTGCTAGAGGGACCCCCCCTACACCGTCTCTTGCCACCCTTCCCTGCAGTGATGTTCATGTTGTTTCCCAGTGCTCCAGGAGCTGCGGCGGGGGGGTGAAGGTTCGGGACGTGCACTGTGTCGACACCAGAGACCAGAGGCTGCTACGGCCCTTCCACTGCCAGGCTGTCCTCTACAAACCTCTGGCACAGCTCACCTGCCAGAGCATGCCATGCCTGGACTGGTACACATCCTCCTGGAGAGAGGTAGGTGCTGCTGGGGGGGGTACTGAGCCAGAGGGGCAGCATTCGACCCTCAAGCATCTTGGTGGGGCTTTGTCCCACCTGCAGTGTGTGTGCCTGTGCTGGGGTGTTTCACACCCACAGTTATTTTTTTCCTCTCCCTCCCTGGAAGCACGTTCATCCAGTGCTTGGTGTTCACTTGCCCAGAGCAAACGCTCAGTAGCTGGGCCAGCATGTGGCTGCAGGGGCTGTGAGCTGCCTGCGGCGATGAGCTTCACTGGACCCCTTCCTCCCTGCCCTGGTCACTGTGGGCAGGGAGGCAGTGGGCTCGGACTGCATGTTCACACACCTGCGAAATTCAAGCAGATAATTCCAGTGGGTCTGCTGGATCCTCCTGCCTCTGGGATTCTCCCAGCCAGTTTCAAGCTCTGAGATTCTCCCAGCCAGTTTCAAGCTCTGAGAAGGGAACAACCCACTGATAGGAGAGGTAGATGCAAAGTGGGCATTTTGTGGGTGCTCGTAGGTTCGTAGGGTGAGTTTGCAGTGTATTTCCTTAAGACACCAGTGCATGGAGCGTGTTGGCCTTTCTGTTGTGCTGCTGGCTTCCCTCTTCCACGGCTTATGTCTCGGCAGTGCTCGGAGTCGTGCGGTGGCGGGGAGCAGGAGCGGCTGGTGACGTGCCCAGAGCTGGGCCGCTGTGAGGAGACATCACGGCCCAATGCCACCCGGCCCTGCAACACGCATCCCTGCACCACCTGGGTGGTGGGCTCCTGGGGAGAGGTGAGCGGGCAACGGCTCCTCTCCATGGGGCTCCTGCACGAAACGTGAGGAACGTTGGGGAAAACACAACCTCCAAAACCAAACTGGGGGCTGCTGCAATAAAAACCTCCTGGGGTCTGATGCTACTGGCGCTGGGGGGGGGGCTTGGCAGGGTGTGGGGAAAGGTCCACCCCTCCAGGGCTGATGGGGCTGCCCTGTTCCCGCAGTGCACGGCCCCCTGTGGCGGGGGCATCCAGCGGCGCCAGGTCAAGTGCATCAACACCAAGACGGGGCTGGCTGAGGAGGACAGCAGCCTCTGTGACCACGAGCCCTGGCCAGAGAGCACCCAGAAGTGCAACCCACAGGACTGCGAGAGCTCTGAGTCAGGTAAGCAAGCGGTGCCCCAAGGCCCTTCTGCCCGTCCTGAAAGCTGAATGCATTGTAGTTAATGTGATTGTGCTCCCCGAGAGCTCGTGTGTGCTGTCTGGGATAAATGCTGCGTTTTGAGGACATGGCAGTATTTATGAAGATTGTATGAAAACCACCCAGTGTTTCCTCAGGGGGAACAGAGCTGGCAGCTCTTCCATCATCACTTTTCTGGAGGAGCAATGCAGCATCCTCCATCGCCATCCTCTGCTATAGTTGGAGACACTTTTCCACTGCAGAGTACCAGTGAGTGCTGATAAAGCGAAACTCAGGTGTGCCCAGTTCCTATGCTTATTGTGGGTCCTGCAGGAAGGTGACGGAGCACAGCGCAGTGTCACGGGGTTTGCTGTGGGTGAGGGAAATGTAAACGGCTCTGTGTTGGTGGGCACTGGGTGGGCTGCTCATCTCTCTGAAGCCACGCCATGAAACAATGTAAAGACCATGTAAGAACATGACCCGTTTTGGGGTCCAGTAACTGGAGATGTTTTTTCTAGCCAAGTTTAGACTCATTCTTTATTTTTCTTCTCCCCACCTTTCACTTCTTGGTCCCCCCGGACAGTCTGGAGGAGGACGCCAGCAATAACTGGCCTTACTTAAAGACGAGCTACACTCAATTAATTTTTCCAGGGCGGGTCGTGTCCTGCGCTCTCCCAGCTGGCCAGCGGGACGATGCCGTCCTGCTCCCGGGAAGGGACCCCAGGAAGGGCTGTGCAGCCGGGGTGGGATGCTCTGGGTGCTGGGGTGAGCTGGGAACCGGGCGTGGGATAGGGAGATGGGTACATGGTGCTCACGGTGCTGCCAGATGGGGAACTGGTGCCAGCTGGGCTGCAGCAAGGAGAGTGATGGAGGGGAGGAAAACCCAGTCATCCCGCTAAAAAGCAATGTGTCTGTGGGAAGATGGATGGAGGGGGTGTTTTATACATGAGTTGTGTAAGGCTAGCTTGGCTAGCTCATTGATAATTAAGTGGGAATGTTATAACCACCTATAGATGTCCAGAGCATTTGGCTCTCAAGGGGCCCAGTGTGGTTTTTTACTGGCAGGAATGTGAGCTGGGATGTGCTTGTCCCAGGAGAGGATCCACCAGCGCCCGCCTGAGAGACCACACTGGGGGTGACATAGGGCAAAGGGACCTGGTTCAGGAGCAATGTGTAATTCAGAGAAAAGAATCTAGAAGGAAATGAAGCTGAAAGCACTTAAGCTCTCTGACCACCAGAAAGCTGTTTAGTGATCAATTCCCAGAACACAAAACTTATGAAACAAGCCTGGTCTCAGCACTAGATAGTCAGATAAAAGACCAACTCTCCATCCAGCACCTTCAGTCAGCCCCATTTTAACCTGAGCCATGCAGACTGTCCGCCAGCTGCTTCTACCTGCTCTGGCTGCAGTCATGGTAGTCACTTGGCTTTTCCTCTCCCTCTCACTTGGAGAGATACATCCCACGGCACCAGGCAGTTCCCTGTAAGCCAGAAATCTGCAGGCAGAAAGGGTTAACAGCACTTAAAAGGAAAAGCAATGTAAAGAGGGGATCAGATGGCATTGATATTAGCACGTTAATCATTAATCAATCTTATCTTTTTAATGTGTCTATGCAAAAAAAGAAAGCTTTTTGATTGCCCAGAAACGTTAGACCCTCAGGAGGTTTATGGAACAAAGAGCAGGCTGAGAGCTGGTGCAGGACAGGAGGGCAGTGGGTGCCCCGGGTGCAGGAGCTGGCCCCAGGGCTGCCCCACACCTCTGTGCCAGCCCCCCCTCTGCAGCCTAGGACACCCGCTCTCATCCTTTCAGCTCTTTTTATTTGTCCTGTATCCAGCTGGGTTCCTCCAAACACCTATTCTGGAGAGGGCAGAAGCATTGGCTTTGGCTAACTGGGGTGTGGAGACCATGACCGCTGGCCATCGGGATGCTTTTAGCCATTAAACCACTCCTTTTCAGCGGCTGCATGACCCTCCCGCATTTGCAAGTCCATCGGGCAGTTCAACATTTAGGAAATAATTAGTCAGTCTTGCTCAAGAAATGATGTGTGGTTCCAGCTATTTTTATCAAGGGAAAATTTCCGTGCCGGACTTGGTGATGAGAGCCGTGGAGCCACGCGGCATAGCCAAGGTTGTACCAGAATAACCGCTTAGATATGTAGGAAACACACAAATAAATGTTAAAATCCTGGATTCAAAATGACATAAATGCTCTGGCTGTAGCCCAGGGCAGGAAACGCCTCTTGGAAATACAAATATTTCCTGCCAAACCATGAAGAGGAACAAAACTTTCACATGGCAGGAAATCACAGATGTGTAAATCCACAGGCACAGGCTCCCAGAAAAGGCATGAATGTAAACTCCAGCCCTTTCCTGTGTTTTAAAGGATCTTTACTGCACAAGGTTAATGCAGGCTGGGGGTGATTCATGTTAGAAGCACAAGGAGCCTCTATCTCCTCTAACATGAAGTGCACTGATACTAGCAAAATCATGTATTTGTCTTTGTGAGCAATCGTGTTCTTGCTGGACACAAAAATGTGAGTAATCCCAGTAGAGTTTAAATGTTAAAACCATTATCAGATAAATTTTTAACAGCGATGGAACAGATCAAACATAAACAAACATCTCACCGGCAATCAGCTCCCTTCAATCAGAGGAGGTCGGAATTAATTAGAACCAGAATCCTGTTATGTTGCCAGGTTATAAATTAATTGATGATTACACAGAGGTTATTTTTAACTGTGCCTGTTGTTTTACAGCTGCATCCAGCTGTGAGGGGAGCAGATAAGTTTTGCCATGTCCTTAGATGCCTTCCGGGGAGCATCGGATCCTGTTGGGCACCCAGATGCCTCCATGCAATGCCCCAGCACAGCTGGGGACGTTTATCTTACTCCGTCCTAAGACAAGGAACTCAAACAAATGCGACTCGAGTACAGAAAAGTCTGCCACGGGGGCTGAGAGCCCTTGCTTCTTGCCCAGTCTGGCAGCAGCTGGGAAAGCCCTGCGGATCCTTCCTGGTGTCCAGGGCCAGAGAGGACATCACTGTCCTGGCAGCACGGCCTGGGTGACAGGAGCAGGAACAGATTTGGGGGACTTTGGGCAGGGCTGCCTGGGAGATAAGAGCAGCCTCAGGCTCGGGAAAGCCTGTTGCTATCTGATTGCCACCGGTGCCTAGCTCTGAGCGCAAGCAGTGCTCACGCCCACATCAGCCGCTCCTGTTACCTGATCATTTCTTGTAACTCAGAAAGCTGGAAAAAACCCAACTCTCACAGCATGTTTATTTCTGTGTTTTACACTTTGGTTTATGGCCATCTTGGAAAGGAGCTGAGCTGCCTGTCCCACGTGAGAGCTCAGAGAAGCCAGCACCAGTTTATCTAGCAGGTCAAACAGTTTTAAAACACAAAAGCAGCAATTGCTTTATATCAGGAGAGGATGCTGATGGGTGAACTGAGCCTCCACCCCCCTGCTGCTGAGAGGGTGATGGCTGTGCCTGCATCATGGCTTTTGGCCAGCCCCCATCAGTGATGGGTGAAACAAGCCTGTTCAGGACCAAACGCTTGCAGCTTGTGGGGTGCTCATGGTGGTAAATGCCATTAAATTAATAATTTTCTTCATGCCTGTTTCTCTGGATCCAATACTGGGTCTGCAAGTTCCCCAAGTTCACTCCAAGTGCGTGTCTAGCAGGTGATGGGTCTGGTTCTTTGCTCCAACCAAGGCACCTTAGCAAAACACAGCTGGTCCCCGCAAGCATCTCGGGCTCTAAATACCAAAGGATTGAAGGTAAAGCGTTCAGCTGGCCTGAGAACAAATATGTATAAAGTGGCTGTGAGTCCAGCTTCTGTGGGAATGGGACAAAGGTTTCTAGCCAGTGGGAAGGGACAGAGCATCATGGAGTTCAGCCTTGCGCCCTGGGAGCAGCCAGCAAAGGGGACCGTGTTTGGTGGGGCTGTGAGAGGGGGGGATGCCTCGGGGGAAACCGAGGGGTGAAATCCCCTTCCTCACACCAGGGATGTGCTGGGTTGAATTCCAGACACCTGGCACCCTCCCAGCTGCTGCTGTTTGCAGTGCTCCGGGCTCGTTATCCAGGGTCCGGTTGTATTTCTAGTTGCCTCAAGATTAATTGGCAATTAAACATTATATTCCTGCTTGCTTTGAGGAGGGAAATGAAATTATTCATGGTTCTGCATGTAGCTGAGTTTGTCCGCAAGGGATACATGCTAGAAAGAATTGCAGCAAATTCCAATTTTCTGTCATGTGAGCATGTAAGCCTGTATCCAAGTGGCAAGACAGGGAGGTGCTGCTGAGTGAGTCGTTAAGTGCCCTTTATTTACTGCTAATTAACAACAGCCGTCTATGAAAAACAGGTGCTTGGGAAAGGATTCCCTGTTTTTATTAAATGTAGGAGAAATTAATGTTACACATTTCAGCCTTATGGATAAAGAGGCTTTGAGTGACATGGACTGGCAGAGGCTGCTCAGGCATCCCCGTATTGGCCCATCCTCCCGAGGCGTCAGTGCAGATGCCAGGTCTGAGCAGTGACGGGGCTGTGCAGGTCCCCGTAATGCACCTGGACACCACTCCAGCCCACCCACGTCATGTCACCAAAACCTGGGCGATGGGGCGATGGGAGAGCAAACCATCAACAGGCAGCTGGAGCAGGAAAGGCACATTTCCTCACCCCGACAAGAGGAGTGGGGTTTTCTTACTGCAGTGCTGCACACTGCGGGTCTGAAGGACCTTGGTTTGGCCAGTGGTGGTGGGAAATGCTTCTGTGGTGGTGAGAGATCTTCTCTTCCCTCCTTCTTGGCAGCTGCTGAGTAAATTTATGTTTTAGAAAGTGTAAATCACAATGGACCTCAAGCGGCTGGTGCAAAAAGAGTGCAAGAATCTGCTTCTTGTTTGCCGTGGGTGTGCGGGCATGGGGCACCCTGTGCAGCACCCCAGCCTCTTGCCAAGCCTCCAAGAACAGAGACAAAGCCTAGTTGCAACAACAAAAGATTAACCCTTACTTAACTTGTTTGAAAACTCTCCAGAATACATCAAAGGCATATTTTATCCTGTGGAAGAAAGACATTCAGCAGAGAGGTTATTGGCCTTGGCCTTGAAATGCAAAAAACAGAGAAAGCAAGGACAGAAATGAAGAAATAGTGCTTTACCCGTGGCTGGAGGAACAACTGTGCTCAGCCACAGCAGTTGTGCTCTGGGGGTCCTGCCTGGAGTCGGCTTCCCTTGGCCTTGAGATAGAGAAGGGCTCAGTGCTGCTGCCAAGCACCTTTACCCTGCCTAATCTTCATGTTAAAAAAAAAAAGCAAAAGAAGCAAAGACTCCTTAGATGTGACAGGGCTGTCTGCTCAAGCCCAACTGCTTCTTGCAGGTTTAGCTGGGGGAAGCTCTGGACACGGCGTGCTTAAAGCGATTTTGGATTTTGGAGAGGAAGGCAGGGTCATGGTCATCAACTTGTTTTGGCAGAGTTGGCTTTTTCTTCCTGTCCCTGCACTCATGAGAAGGAGGGGGAAGACAGCACAGAGTGAGGAAGGGTCCTGGCTCTGCCACAACTCTTTGGAAATGAGAATTTCTCTCTGTCAGATCCAGGAACTCTAAAAAATTAATAAACCTTCTCAACCTCTTAATGAGCACCAGCATTTTCCTGCCCCTGGTCTCTCATCCCCAGGCTGGATGCTTAGGGGGTGTCAATGGGAGCTCTGTCATGGTGATGAGCAAGACATATTGGGAGCATCACGGCTGACACCTGAAAACAAGTGGGTTTTTGTGCTTTTCTATGAGTTTTCCAAGCTGTGGCCATGCCGGTGCCTGCCTGTGCAGGCAAACCTGGCAGCTGGGTGTCCGCTGCCTGCAATGGAACATGCTGCCTTTGCCAGTGCTCATTCCCAGGGTTGGGGACCGCGGGCCCCGCAGCAGGAGCCTGGGATAATACTTGTTAAATTCGGCACCAGCTCCGAGAGCATCCCGAAGGGCAGAGGTCAGCAGCTTAATTCTCTGGTTTTGCTAGCTCAGCTCTAAGCTCAACCTTTCCTTGTTTTTACAAAACCTGTTCCAGGAAGTTTATTTTTCCCGAGCATAAAAGTAAATGCTTAGGTCTGTATGGCAGAAGCTTAAATGAAATTTAAAGCGACTTCCACGCCAACTTAAAAAAACAATCAAAAAAAGGTGGGGGTTTTCAGTTTCTAATGTGCTGACTTAGCCTGGATTTTAAAAGCCCTGCTTTAAGCTATTTCTTTAGACTAAAATTTGGCATAGACTTGAACACTGGAGCATATGTTCAAATGAAGCGTTAGGATTATATAAAAAAAAAAAGTTAATAGAAAAAAATAACAGTAAAAGGATTAAATGAAAATTGGGTCAATTCTGTAGGGACCCTCTCTGAAGAGCTGACAAATTAAGTGCTTATTACAGCTTCCCTTGCCCAAGACCAAATTCCAGGGAGGAATCACGAGCTCGGCCAAGATTTTCAGACCTGAGCTTGACCCCACACACATCTACGCTGAGACACTACATCAGGGCGAAGCACAGCCAGATCTGGAAAAATGACGAGCGCTCAATGACTCCCCTTGTCTTGATTTTATTAAAATGCTTTGGGAACCTGAAATGCTCTGTGGGGCCTCATGCGAGGTCAGCAGAGCAGTTGCAGCAATGCCTCTGGGTGAGGGTCGTGGCTCTTCACCCTCTGCTCAGCCCATCCCCACTGTTTTTCCTCATACCGTTGCAGATAACGTGATGTAAAAAGAGAAATAGCTCCTGCCAGGAACCCAATGGGCTGATTTATGCCTATGTACAGCTCTGGGTAGTGCAGGTACAGGAATTTCCTACCAGCACTCAGGGTTTTGACCTGTTGGAAAGGGACCAGAAAAGAACTAAGCCATCCCCTTTGGTCCTGGAAAGCGACCTTCCCGTGAGAGGCTCCAGAAGCCTAACCTCCACAGCTCTTTCAAGGGAAGGCAGGAGGCAACTTGACTGAGATCCATAAATAGCTTTCTAGGAAGACCGTTGCGATAAGCAGAGGCTGAGCAGAAACGAGCTCAGCCAGGCCCAGCAGCAATGTGATAAAAATACCGAGGCGCTCGGCGGGGGTCTGCCTCAGCATGACCCTCCAAATTGCTGGTGACATTCCCATCCATCCGTGCAGTATTTTTAACTGAGTTCTTCTAAACGCCGTGGAGTTCGTGCTGCTCTGTGCAATGTGGTGAATAATTAACCCCCCGGAGCACACCAGCCCCTGCTGGGGAGTTGTCGCTCTGTTCTCCATCCCTCCTACTCAATATCTCTTCCCAAACCAGCAACACCATGAGTTTATAAACCCCGCAGGAAGCACAGGTGGGGGTTACCCAGCGGTCGTGCCCCGGTGAAGAGTAAATGATTACAGAATCCCACACCAGGGGAGAGATGGCTGAGATCAGTGTGCTAAGCCAGAGCTGGGCACTGGTGCGTTTTAAGGCACTGGTGGACCCTGGTATTGCCGTTGCCAGTCCTAAGAAGCAGACAGGGGTCTCCAGGCTGACATGCCCTCAGGTTTTTTTCTCTCATCAGACACCCCAGAGGTGTTTTGGGATCCCAGCTTGAGACATCCCTGTCCTGCCGCACGTGCAAACGGAAATAGGTGTATTCGTGTGCTTGACTGTGCCCATGCAAAAGGGCCCTGGGGGTTCAGGAGATGCTCCCGGGGATACCATTCTTGAGAGCCCCATGGAGCATCACACCAGCACACGCTTCCCTTTTCCCACCCAGCTCTGGTACTCTTGCATGGCGTGGCTGTGCTCGTGGCAGGGCTGGGGCTGTGCACTGCTCCAGCCTGGCCTGCTCGGCAGTTCCTCATCTGCTCTGCTTAACCAGAAGGAAAAATCTGCATTAACCCAGGCACCCAGGGGGTCAGACCAAACCCCCAGCCTGGGAGTGTGATGCAGAGCTGGGATCTGGTGGTCAGTCCCAGTCCACTGGCAGCTGTTGGATCTGGCAGCAGCTTCTGTGAAACGTTTTTTTCGGGGCACAGAGACACTATTGCTGGGTAGAAAGAGCTGTTGCTTGAGAGGAAGAGAGGAAACAGCTCTACCGAAATAGAAAATTAATTTTAGGCAAGTATAGTGACCTCCTTACTGATGGGCTGGGGGCAGGGGTGAGGGCTGTGACTGAAATCCCAAACGGGAGGAAAAGTCTCTGCTCTGTGTCCAGCGCGTTACCCTCTGTGGGTCAGCTTGTGCCTGTGGGAATTGGGGCAGCAGCTTTTCCCGGAGCAAAGCCTTTTGTTTGCAAAGGGGAGATGGCAAGGGGCAATGGTCAGCGAGAGCTCCCCCACCTTGGCCCCCATGTTTCCGTAGCAGAAAAGTGTCCTGAGAATGAGAAAACCCCATTTTCTTGCTTCATTTCTGCATCTGCTCAGCGTGGTCCTGGGGAGAGACAGTGTGGAGGGACCAGGGATTGCCAGTCCTGCGTGTACACCCCTGGGAGTATCAGCTCTGCCCTTTTTCAGAGAAAAGCTGCCATTTGTTTTAATTGCTTGTACAGGAGGTAAAATTAGAGCTGATGTAATTTAAATGTCTTAAACAACTGGGTGAGATGCTGAAGGCTGTGAGGTGCACGCTTGCTTTAATATAAAGCAGAAATGTAGGAAACTAAAACCTAAAGCAAATCAACTATATATTCTTATAAACAGAGCATATTTGGTGATGGGTCTTTGCTGCTGTGACTAAGCTGAGCCGCAGGCTGTTTGAGCCCAGCCTGGCTGGCGCTGGGAGCTGCTGGGGTTGTCCCCTCCTCGCCATGTCCCATGCCGGGATGCACAGCGGGGATTTGCACATGGTGTCAGGTGTGAGGGTGTTTCGGGGTGGGGGGAGGCTCACTCCCCAAGGATGAGGCATCCCTGGGACAGCGCTCGCGTTTCCCCCAACCCCCCACCCCGCTGTGAACCCGAGCCCTGGACAAACACCCCGACGAGGCGCTCCCAAGCCCGGAGAGGGATTTGTGATTTCCAGACTGTTTGCAGAGAGGAAACAGTTTCTGCAAACAGTTTGCTCAGCCTGCGAGTGACGCAGCCAGGGCAGCCAGGCTGCGAACCACGGCCACCACGACAATTGCTGCCGCTGGCTCGGGTGCTGCCCCCACAGTGGGTCTGGGTGCTGGCACGGGAGTAGCGGTTCCCAAAACAAAGCCCATCCTCAAAGCAGCGCTGATGTTGTTTTGAAGTTTGTGAGACACCTGCAGGAAGTGAACCAGATGATGCGGGTGCTCAAAATAATCTAAACACAATGCAGGGAGAAATGAATTATCGCCTTTCTGCCGCCTTCTGCTGGCATTGCGGGGAAGATCTGGGGACTGGGAGGAGACGTCATTGTGGGGAGGTCTGTAGCCTCTCCCAGGCCCTCACCATGGACCCTCCTCCCCGGGGAGTGAGCCCCGGGCTCAGCCCCACTCCCCTGTATGGTTTCTCTACCCTGGGAAGATGCTGCAGAACTGCAGGCAGCAGCAGAAGTGTTATTTCTGCTGTCAGTGAGAAATAATGAGGATGCTCAGTATGCAGGTGAAGGTGGGCTCTGCATTTCCTGAGCTCTGTCTTTGCCAATTTTCACCTCGAATGCTCAGTAACGGCAGTGCCAGCACTAACGCTGTCCTTGCCCTCTCGCCTCCCCTCCAGGCTTTGTCTGCGAGCGCGACCGCTTGACATTTGGCTTCTGCCAGACCCTGCGGGTCCTGGGAAGGTGCCACCTCCCGACGGTCTATCTCCAGTGCTGCCGAAGCTGCCGCCAGCACAGGCACCGCGCGGTGCCTGACCGGGACCGCGGGGACGAGCGGGCCTCCAGAAGGTGACAGGACCGTCCCCAAGGGCGAGAAGTGCCAGGACCCGTGGTGGCTCCTCAGTGAAGGAGGAATCTGGGTCACAACCAGGACTTGCGGCTCTGCCTCATCCCATGGCAGTGCCGGACAGTGCCGCCTGCGAGCCGCGTGGTGCTCTTACAAAACACAGGGAAGGCTTGATTTCTTTTTTTTGTGCTACACTATAACGGTGCTCAAACCATCGGTCTGAAAAATAAGGTCTTGCATGGGCTGGGTGTGCAGGTCCTACCGGTCCCAGTGGAGATTCCGGGGCAGCTGCGACCCTCTGTCGGGGTCATGCTGCCACTGGGTGACCGGTGGGGAAACATTTTGGGGAAGGGAAACCAAAAGCAGCAATAATGCAGGGGAGACCTCTCGGAAATGCTTATGGTGCTATCATTTGACATTTTCAGCCTCTTAATAGTGTTGGCTGGCCAGCACGAAACTCGACTTTTATTATAATTTTTATATATATGAAGTGAGCATCTAGCATTCCATCCATACAGCCAACCCTTTGGGCTAGGTTTTGTTTTTTCCTTAAGGGACTTGAAGCTGACAACCCATTTCTGTAATTTTCACTAAAATGTTTACGCACTGAAGCTAAACAGCTGTAATTTAAGAAAGGGTGACAGGGCAGAGGAATAAATATCAGCTTCAGTTACCCCCATGAGTCCAGGGCTTGTGAAGGCTCCATACTCTCGTCTCCCTGCTGCTGGCTTTCTCTGCCACAGCCATTGCTTGAACCCCTCCGGAGCAGAGGGGATGGTCAGGGACACCAAGGCACAAGCAAAATGACACGTTGGGTTTGGAGTCCAACAGCACGTTCCCCTGCGTGTGTTTGTGAAGGAGAAGGGAAGCTGCTCTGGCCCTGGTGGCGAGCAGCACGTCCCTTTCACTGTCTCCTTCCTCGAGAGCAGCAAAGTACTTACCCGCCTGGATTTCTGTATGCAGATACGGCGTAGCAGCTTAATGGTTGATTAAGGTGTTTTTCTGTGTTCTTACAAACTAAAAACCTTTTTTACTGCTTATATAGATTCACCTCTGTTAAGTTTAGCTGATTCTTTTAACTAGAATATCCAATATTGTACGAGGAGCAGCACTCATCTGGCACAGCCCTTACCGCCCGGTCCAGGAGTGCCCTATGTTAATCCCTCCCTGATTTAGGGAGGATGTGCTGTTAGGTTGGTCCCTGAAGGAGGGTCAGGAGCATTTAGGTAGGAATTCCTTTCTATATTACTCTTGAGACTACGGAGGACACCCAGAAACTGGGAGAACGTGAAGGCAATCCTACTTGCATTGAACGGAGAAAGGCTTGAGCGCGTCGGCCACGCCATGGGGTCACGCAGCCCAGGGCATGTTTCTTCATCACCTGTGCTGTCGGGAACAATATTGAGTCCCATAACAGGGGAAATTCCTGTGTGTAATTTGTATGTAAAACACAAGCCATGACTTCATCATCTGTGTTTTATTCCTTTCCAATGTGGTGTAAATTTTTATGTTTCAAGAGACTGTGTTCAGTCCTGTTTTCCTTCTCACCAGCGTCATCCATCCCATGCTGCCATCGTGCTCCCAGGTTTTGCTAAGGGATAGCCACTAAATGTGTTGGGGTTTAACAGCTATAGCTCATGAGTGTGTTAAATTAAACAGTTACTGAGGGAAATGGTAGGGTTTCACATTTTCTCTTCCCCTTGAGGAATTTTGAGGGATTTTTCACTGAAAATGCATTTAAGTGGAGACAGTTTAGGTACTGGCAACAGTGGGAGTGTGATTACACTCTTAGCTGCAGCAGAAAGGGGCAATCAGTTTGCATCTGAAACTCATTTAAGGCAACTGGGGTTTGTGTGATTAAACCATGAGCTGGGTTGATGGGGTAAGTGCTGGCAGCTCACTGGTGACTTGCAGACCAAAAGGCTTCAGCCCCTGCCTGGCATCAATACCTACTCCGGCTTTGCAAATCACTTGGTTTCAGTGGTCTGTAAAACTGAGCCTGGCGAGTGTCTCCCGCAGGACTTGTCCGTGCACAGGGTCACATCTGCGCCTGGGATGAGGCCACGGGATAATCCCTCCCACAGGACACCTGGGCAAACCCACTGCACCGTCTGGGCAACGGCGTTGGGAACACCGGAGAAACGACTGCAGCCGAGGGGAAGTTCCTAACGTCAGCTGCCGTTTTGTAAATGCTTCAGCCTGGCCAAACAGAAACCTCTGGGAATAGGCTGATGAAACAGGCCCTAAATCAAAGGCACTGAGCTTCTGTGAGAGCTCTGTGCACCGCAAGCTGTGCAGCAGGCAGGTTTTCTTGCTAGCCCAGCAGTGTTTCATACACCCTCAAGTGGAGCCGGTCCCTGAGCATCCCCAGCTGGCACAGCCACAGCTCCAGTTCACGGCCACAGCACAGTGCCCACCAGCACCTTCGAGTCTCTGCAGCCCCGACTGGCTTGGGGCCCTGCAGCAGCCAGGGAAAACCCTCCTGTTTCAACCCAGAAACCCTCCTGTTTCAAGAAGGGCCAACCCCAATGAACCTGAAGCCTCGGGGTTTTGCAGAGCAGAGCTGGGTGGCCACGGCTCCATGATGACACAACACAGGGGCCAGGGTGTCCTTCTGGGAGGGGCTGAGCAGAGACGGTTCCCAAGTGCTCGGAGCAGCAGGAATTAACTAAACCAGAAGTGTGGCCAGCCCCCGAGCCCAGCAGCTCCCAGACTGTGGAGGTTTCTGGTGGGTGCTGAAGCAGGAAAAGTTTGCATCGCAGTGTGGGAACCTCCACTGGAAGGGCATTTCATCTGCTTTTTAGCCAGATAATAAACCAGGCCTCCTACAAGCACATAAATTACATTATAAGTAACAATTACACACACCTTGCTTAAATACCTGCAATATTTTCTTTCAATGATTCACCTACAGCTTGGAAAATGGGCTGCAGCTGTAAATTAAAGGCCCCAGAACTGGAGCAGTTCTGTCTCCTAGGCTTGTCGTCATGAGCTCTGACATGTCTGACGTGCATGCAGCTCCTCGCCTCCTCCTGCAGCAAAGCCAGACCTTTCCCAGGAGCAGAGCTGGCTGTTCACTTGCTCGGCTGTGTTAGTATCTGTATTTTCACTTGCTCCTTGTAACCAGGGAACTAACTAGAAATGCCTTTTTTTTTTCCTTTTAAAGAAGCTTTTATGAATGTGTCAACACAAGAAGGACGTTATTCAGAAATAACTGCTGCGGTAGCATGCAAAGGAAAGCAGGAAAGTAATTATGAATCAAAGGATGTTTGAAATAGAAAGATGACTTTCCCTGGGGTATCTAAGGGGGTTTGCCAGGACAGCAAGTTTATCCTTTTTGCTAGGTTAATTAGAGCAGAGTATGAAAGACAAAAGCAAGAATCTGTCAGCCCCCCCATCAGCGAGGTTCCCCAGCTCCACGGGCAGTGCAGGAGGAAGCCCACCAGCGCCGTTCCCTGCCAGGACTGCACCTGTCATGCCAAGAACACGCGTGTGTTTGCCCAGGGCCCCCTCAGTGCCTTCCCCTCCGTGCCTCCCAAAGAGCCCTGGCTGTGACCAGTGCAGACAGAAGAAAAGCCCTAAATCATGCCTTTCATTGGAGGTACAGGATGCGTGGGGACCAGGATGCATTCACTTTGTCATTCTAAGATACTTTTGGTTCATTACTTCAGAAAGACCCGGGGGGGGGCGGCGAAGTCTCTTCGACCTTTGGCCACTCGATTTTACTTGGCCTGTCTGAAAAACATTTGATTTCTCTGCTAAACCATCAGAGGCCACAGGGAATTACGTTCTTGCAGCCTCGTCATCTCCCAGCACCAGCTGAACATCTGCAGTGGGTTAACTGGAGCTGAGAGCTGTTTTTTTAAGGCAGGAATGTACGTTTATACAAATCTAAGAAAGCTTAATTACAAAGGCAACTGATACCGGAGCTATGTCTCCTTTTTCAAATTGAGTTGTTCTTAAAATTTAATGCCACTGAAGACTTTTGTGGACCCGCGGCAGAGACCGTGCTTACCTCAGCAGGCTCAGGTTAACAGAGACCTGCTGGCCCCTGTCTCTGCATGTACACGTATGTAGATACACACATATATATAGACATATATAGGTACATTCAGTCAGAGCCCCTGCTGTCACCACTGCTAGGACAGGGATGTGGGAAAGCACACCCCTCCTCTGCCCACTGCTTTCCCCGTGCCCCCAGGCCCCCCCTTACCCCCAGCACCAAGCTCTGACAGACACTCCTGAGTAGTTTTTTCCTCTATTCTCCACAGAGGAAACAGAACAAACAATATGTTTTTAGAAGAGGATTTCAGCTAAGTTTCCTGAAATCTATTGTAATCTCCAGATGGTAATTACCAAACAGGGAAGGAATTGCTCACAGGTTTCACTGGCCCTTTTTTGGACTAACAGGATAAATCCAATAGAAGATGGAAAATCCTCATGTTGTGTAGGCTTCATTCTTGAGAAGTTGCTGATGAAGTCAATTTAAAAATTAATTTGATTCTGGAGCCAATCAACCCTAAAGTTCAGGTTTTTCGTCTGCTCAGGCATGGTTTGGTAGCTGGAGCTGTGAGCAGCTCTGGATGCGCAGGGGCTGTACAAGCAACTTGGACCAAACCAAAGAGGATTTAAGTTTAGTGTAAAACAGGTGAACTAACCCCCTTTGTCAGGCCACTTGCTCCTTCAGAGTAATATTTAAACCTGGTCAGTTGACTATTTTATTTGCAGAAATAATGATTTAAATGAAAGTCCTTTTGCCCCTGATTTTGCTGTCTTCCCATCCAGCCTGCAGCTGTGGCTCCCGTTAAAGCCATCATGACATTCACGAAACTAAACTTACAAAGGACTTGGTGTGGGTTTTTTCAGAGATGGTTGTAAATATAAAACATCCTTAAAATATTTGATGTTTCTCCATTGGCTTTCTGTTTAAGCTTTTATTTATAAACATCCAATTTTGCTACAAGCCAGCCTGCAAACTATTGACATCAAGACACTGTCAAGGCTGGCCATGCTCAGGGTCCCCACCTCTTCTATCTCCATCCAGAATCTTTTTCGTAGCCTCTCCTCACCCCCATCCTTATCAGAGGTAGGATTAAATCAGCCATCTCCGCACTGCATCTGTCAGGAGAGCTGGTTCCAGCCCAGTTTCTGGAGGCAGATGGCAGGTGTGATTTAAGGAAAAATTTTGCAAAATGTGAGAGCTCCCTTTTAAGTGGGCAACAAACAGTGTGGGAAAGAACTGGGCTAGGATCCAGCAGGAAATTTGTGAAGAAGGCCTGTGGCTATAAAAGGAGCCCAAGGATGGTGGTGTTAAGCCAGGGGAAGAGGAAAGAAAGGTGCTCAGAGCGAGCACCCTGCCCTGCCCAGTGTTCTGGGCTGCGTGGGCAAGGCTTGTCCCCATGTGGTGGTGGTGGGACAAGGGACAGGAGAGATTTGGAAAAGTAAGTGCCCAGCAAAACTATTAAATGTAACTAAAATAATGAGACCTTCTAAAAGAAGCTGAGCCCAAGGCCTTGTCCGTCAGCACAGCTTAGTCAGAGGAAGAAGCTCACAGATGTTCATTGATGGAAAATTGTGCTGAGCTCAGCCAGCTCTGCCGGGGAGGCTTCCCCAAGTGAGGGAATCATAGAATCACGGAGCAGTTTGGGTTGGAAGGGAACTTAAAGCCCACCCAGTCTCACTCCCCTGCCATGAGCAGGGACACCTTCCACTAGCCCAGGTTGCCCAAAGCCCCGTCCAACCTGGCCTTGAACCCTGCCAGGGAGGGGGCAGCCACAGCTCCTCTGGGCAACCTCTGCCAGGGCCTCACCACCTCACAGGGAAGAATTTCTTCCCTCTATCTCATCTAAATCTGCCCTCTTTCAGTTTAAAACCATCACCCCTCATCCTACCCTACACCTCTGATCAAGAGTCCCTCCCCCCTTTCCTGTAGCCCCTTTCAGCCCTGTGAGGCTGCTCTAAGGTCTCCCCAGAGCCTTCTCTTCTCCAGCTGAATCCCCCCAACTCTCTCAGCCTGCCCTCACAGGGGAGGTGCTCCAGCCCCCCTGAGAATCTTCGTGGTCTTCTCTGGCCCCACTCGAGCAGGTCCGTGTCTTTCTGATGTTAGTGCTCTGAAAGCTGGACCCAGCACTGCAGGGGTCTCATGAGAGCAGACCTAGAAAAACAAATGAGATCTGCTGAAACTGGAGCTCTGGGGACACGTTGACAATTCTGGTGGCTTCAGCCTGGGCAGTGGGGAGAAGCTGTGAGCACAGCAGGCGCTCGGCAGCTGCATCAGTGTGGCAAATGATGGGAAGAGGTGTTGGATGCTCCCAAGTCCCACAGCCACCCCAGGCTGTGATTGCCTGGGGATTGGGTAGGGATGTCCTGCAGGGCTGTTTTTTCCAGAGGAAAGGAGGGAATGGGAGTATTTTAAACAGCCACTTCAGCTGGGAAGCTGGGAAATTGGTGACTGGGAGATGGGTGACTGGGAGATGGGTGGCTGGCAGATGGGTGACCAGCAGCAGCAGTGTCCTAGCAATCAGCATCAGAATGGTGCTTGTAAACACTTTGAGAGTCCTCCTGATTGCAGCATCACAGGAGAATCTGCA